TTGGATGGTGAATGTTGTTGGTGAATGGTCACAGACTTGTTCCGAAGCCACTCCTTCGTTATTTTAGCTGTGTGCTTAGGGTCATTGTCTTGTTGGAAGGTGAACCTTCGGCCCAGTCTGAGGTCCTGAGCACTCTGGATGAGGTTTTCTTCCAGGATATCTCTGTACTTGGCCGCATCCATCTTTCATTCAATTGCAACCAGTCGTCCTGTCCCTGCAGCTGAAAAACACCCCCACAGCATGATGCTGCCACCACCATGCTTCACTGTTGGGACTGTATTGGGCAGGTGATGAGCAGTGCCTGGTTTTCTCCACACATACCGCTTAGAATTAACGCCAAAAAGTTCAATCTTGGTCTCATCAGACCAGAGAATCTTATTTCTCATAGTCTGGGAGTCCTTCATGTGTTTTTTTAGCAAACTCTATGCGGGCTTTCATATGTCTTGCACTGAGGAGAGGCTTTCGTCGGGCCACTCTGCTATAAAGCCCCGACTGGTGGAGGGCTGCAGTGATAGTTGACTTTGTGGAACTTTCTACCATCTCCCTACTGCATCTCTGGAGCTCAGCCACAGTGAGCACGATTGCCTAGTTTGGCTGGACAGCCAGGTCTAGGAAGAGTTCTGGTCGTCCCAAATTTCTTCCATTTGAGGATTATGGAGGCCACTGTACTCTTAGGAACCTTGAGTGCTGCAGAAATTGTTTTGTAACTTTGGCCAGATCTGTGCCTTGCCATAATTCTGTCTCTGAGCTCTTCAGGCAGTTCCTTCAACCTCATGATTCTCATTTGCTCTGACATGCACTGTGAGCTGTAAGGTCTTATATAGACAGGTGTGTGCCTTTCCTAATCAAGTCCAATCAGTTTAATTACACACAGCAGGACTCCAACCAGAGTAGAACCATCTCAAGGAGGATCAGAAGAAATGTACAGCATGTGAGTTAAATGACTGTGGATCATCTGGTAAACCCAACCCCTCCTTGTGCCCCAGCTGGAAGTAACGATGACTGTGAATTGTTTTTATCTTATTTTACCAATAAGGTGGTGTCTATCAGAGCCTCTATTACCCCCGTGGCCTCTTACTCAGAGGTTCCTCACCAGCAACAAGAGAGTTTTAACCAGTTTTATCCCATCGACTTGTCTGAGCTTTTAAAAAAAGTATCACAAATGAGAGTGTCCTCCAGCCCACTTGATGTAATACCTACAAAATTTTTTTACTAAAAGTAATAGATTCTGTTGGGCCCCATTTGATCTCTGTTTTCAACAGCTCCCTATCTACTGGTTGTGTCCCTGATTATTAACAGCTTGCGTGAACGCACTTTTAAAGAAACCTGGTTTAGATCCCTCCCTCCCACATAATTTTAGATCAATTTCAAAACTGCCTTTTATTGCAAAGATTCTAGAAAGAATTGTGTCCAAACAGCTGCTCACTGTACTGGAAAATAACAAAATATTTGAACAGTTTAAGTTTCAGTCTGGTCTTAGGAAGTACCACAGCACTGAGACTGCCCTGCTTAAAGTCACCAATGACCTTTTAATGTCTGCTGATGAAGGCATGTGCTCAGTCCTGGTACTCCTGGACCTTAGCGCTGCTTTTGACACCATTGATCACAACATCATGTTAGACAGACTGAGGCACTGGGTGGGGATCTCTGGTACTGCCCTAGAATGGTTTTCATCCTACCTGTCAAATAGGAAGTTTTGCGTGTCTGTAAACAACTATGTCTCCTCATTCTGTCCAGTTAAATATGGTGTGCCTCAGGGGTCGGTCTTAGGACCCATTTTGTTTTCCTTGTATCTGCTTCCCCTTGGACATATTATCCATAAACATGGCATTTCTTTTCATATTTATGCTGATGACACACAAATATACTTGCCCATCAGATCCACAGACCCTGGAATGCTGAGTTCACTTAACAACTGCCTTTGTGAAGTTAAAAATGGATGTCAAATAATTTCCTCCAGCTGAACTCAGACAAAACAGAAATCCTGGTCATCGGGTCTCAGCAGATGGCAAATCAAATACTGCCATCTGCTGGTTCCCTAGTAAATCACATTAAGCCTGTGGCAAAGAACCTTGGTGTTTGGTTTGATAGTAATTTAAATTTCGAGCAGCACACCACAAAGCTTGTTCAATCATGTTTTTATCAACTTAGAAATATAGCAAAAATTCGATCTATGTTAACTTTTAAGGACACCGAGACCATTTTACACGCCTTCGTCTCATCACGCCTGGATTATTGCAACAGCCTTTTCACCTGTTTAACCCAAAAATCTATTGATCGACTCCAGACTGTCCAGAACTCAGCTGCCAGGCTTTTAACCAGAACAAAGAAATATGACCACATTACCCCTGTTTTAGCTTCATTACACTGGCTCCCAGTATGTTTTAGAATTGAATTTAAAATTCTATTGATCACTTTTAAAGCTCTTCATGGCCTCTCGCCTTGTTATATTTCTGACCTTTTAGTCCCATACGCACAAGCACGTACCTTGAGATCCTCGGGCAGAGGTCTGTTGTCTGTTCCAGAGTCTCGACTGAAAACTAAAGGGGACAGAGAGTTTGCTGTCAGGGCCCCGAGGCTCTGGAACAGCCTGCCCGAGGTAATCAGGTCGGCTGAGTCAGTGAACTCTTTTAAGTCCCTTCTTAAAACATACTTTTATAGGAGAGCTTTTCCTGATCTTATTTGACTTTATTTTATCCCTTTTATTTTATTGTATTTTACTAATTTTATATTAATTTTCCATGCTCTTATCTTGTTTGTTTTTTTTGTTTGTTTTTTTTGTATTATTCTTTACACTTGTTAAAGCACTTTGTAACTTGTTTTTGAAAAGTGCTCTACAAATAAGGATTATTATTATTATTATTATTAAATATGAGTGTCACAGTAAAGGGTCTGAATACTTATGACCATGTGATATTTCAGTTTTTCTTTTTTATAAATCTGCAATAATTTCTACATTTCTGTTTTTTTCTGTCAAGATGGGGTGCTCAGTGTACATTAATGAGAAATAAAATGAACTTTTTTGATTTTTGGAAAATGGCTGCAATGAAACAAAGAGTGAAAAATTTAAGGGGGTCTGAATACTTTCCGTACCCACTGTATATATATATATATATATATATATATATATATATATTATATATATATATATATATATATATATATGTTATTAATTATAATTAATGACAAGTTGTACCTGTATGTCTATACTGTTGATTGATTGACTGACACAGAGCCTATTCAGTTGAATATTTCATCATGCACCACTGCAGCAGGCGCAGTTATATGCCACCATCTCGTTGAATGCCCGTTACAGTATTTCCCAGCATTAAAAGTTAACTTCAACGGTTCTATGAGAGAAAACAATAGCAGAGAGAAACACACCCTCAATGTGTACGTTTACATGCAGTTCCATCATTGGAAATACACCTTGATTAGCAGTAAAAAAAACACACTGTGGGGAAATTATTATATTAACTACTGGAGCAGCAGCTCACCAATTTATCTAATGCCTGCTTCATTAATTTTCTTTTTGTGGCATGTGTCATCTACAGAACCAAAGACTCATTAAAATGCATAATAATTATGGTGTTAGGTAAAGCCATGTACAGTAACACTAATTAGGCCACATATTATGCATGTTAAATAGAAAAATGTAGGTGCAAACAGAAGAAGTACCGAACCAAGCTGAACCAGACAAATCCTGTTCAAGCTGTTCTCAACACAATTCGTCAAAGGTTTACCTTAAAGGTAAATTTATAGACCTCTGGATACAATGGATTACATGCCCGCTTCTCACAATAAATCATTCAAACTTTATTTATTAAAGTAGAAAAATATAAATAACACAGGCAAGACTAGAACCAATCACCCTTTCACCCTCAATTCTCTTTAACCACCCACCCCCAGGAGTGCCACTAATCCTTGCTTCACATTTTGAGCATTGTGGTCCCCCTCTAGGGGGTCCCTGTGTTTACTCGAACTCTTTAAATGTGAAAAAGGTAATTTGCCTTTTTCCATCATTATGTGAGCAACTGTGATCTGATTTCATGCTGTATATGGCGTGAGTCTGCGAACAGCAGGGCGCAGTGAAAGGAGATGGTTACCTCGCTGAGAAGATGGAAGTGTGCAGCCTGTTGCCTGCAGCTCTTCATCTATCAGCTCACTGTGGCTGCTCCCGATGGTTCCATAACTCCTTGCAGTCTTTCAAACTGAGCTGCTGTCAAAAAAATGCCAAAAGTGATGGTCTCGTTTTGTAGACAAAAAGTCAACTTTGTTTCTTCACTTGAAGGATTTTTATGTGAAGTTACAGCAGTAGAAGATGTTTGGCTTGCGTTAGCAGTGACTTCATAAAATATATAAAAATAAATATTGCAATACTTTCATTGGTTGCCCATAGGCTCCATCACTATTGTGTTGCCTCATTCAGCGATAGTAAATTAAACCTTTCTTTAAAGGAAAATCTTTGAGATTGTTCCTTTAGATAGCACATAATAACATGAGCTTAGACTTTGGTTCCAATAAAGTGTCCAGTATTTTACTCCATTGTGTATATTGTCTGGAGCAGATAATGTTACGTAACATACAGTAGTTACCTCATATGCAATCCAATTCTCACCTCATGATGATACGTACAAGTTTCACATTTTACTCATGAGAACCAGCTTTTAGTGTTTTGGTACCTCTCAAACAAATACATATTTTTGTGATTATAATTTGATGATTAAAGTTCAAAAATCAGCTTTATCGGCTTCAGTTGGTGTGCTGCTGACTGCTGAAACTGTAGCCGGACATATTTAATTGTTTAATATAAACTTGTTTAGCTGATCGTGTTCTGCAGTGGTGCTGGGTCTGCATACATGTTTGTATCTCAGGTAAAGCATAGTGAAAATGCATGACTTTTGCCACAATTTGCCAGTTCCAGATGCTGGGACTACTTCTTTGGCTGACTCTATTTTAGTGCCCATTCATGAATAGAAGAAAGAGTCACTTCCACTGAATAGAGACCAAAAGCAATTCAAGGCCAATTTTATTGAGGCAGTCTTTGATGACATTGTGGATGACAGCATCACTGTAATCAGACTTAAAGTACACACAGTAATAACAGTGGTTATTAGCTTGTATCTGATAAATCTGCTGTTGGCTGAAGAACGCTTGGTTTTCTATAAATAAAGGATATGTTATTTAAAGAGCAAGAAGCTTAGTTTTAGTTTCAGAGCACAGGAAGATTAATTTTCATATCAAGCTAATCAAACATCAATGTAATTAGTGGGGTAAAAATACTTCACCATTGTATACAGTAATGGGATATTTATAGTATTTGTGCTCCATAAATTTGTTCCATAAACAAAGGCTGATTGTAGTGATTATACATCTAGATGTTGGTGTTTATGGTTTTAACAGAACATTATTTCAGAAGCAACCGATTCTCACAACTGTACTTCCCTCTGATTTTTGTAATGATCTCAAATCTCTCTGAAGCTAACAGACCTGTACACTGACACTTGCAGAACTATCGGATGTCAGACATTGTCTTTGTTTTCTTTGCACAATGAACAATCAAAAAACAAAACAAAACAAATACATATATTACAAAAGACAAAAATAAATAAAATAAAATAAAACAAACAAGTCTTAAAAGACTAAAACCAGTCCCTCCAGGTAAGCAATTAAGAGGTCCACAAACTTTTTTATTCTACCCCCAATTAATCAAATGTTGGTACATCTTACCTCTTCAGTGTTTTAGAACTGTGTTAGCACTAAATAACATACTGTATGAATTAGCTTTGGCTCCAATTATATACTCCGATATAGAGTAGACCCTTGTCAGTCAAGCTTCCTTTCTGATGGCAGATGGTCGGCTCACAGTGAAGAGACGGATAGTATAACATTTATTTTTAATGACATTTAAAAATATTTGATGCTAATTTGAAACAAATTGTTTTATTTTATTTTAAACTGTAAAGTATTCAAATACAAATCTTGTGTTTGATTTTCCTTCTTAAAATGATGTGAAACCATAAATGCAAACATTCAGTTTAGGTTTAATAAGGGAGGTAGTCCAAACTAAGGTAAGCAATACAGAATTATTCAAATGTAAAAACATCATACAGATGTGTTTCATTTTCTTGCTCAGGTCATTTCTAGTCTAGGTTATTTTGTTTAAGTATATCGGTCTTAACTATCCACAATTTTATTCCAGCTTCCTTTGTTTGATGTCTTGCTTTGGAAAGTTTAGAGCACACAGAAGTAATGACAAAAAATAGTAGAAAGAATAGTCGGCAGGGTGAAATTGAAGGTGTAAAAAAAAAATTTGACTGGTAAGATTGGTAACAGTAATTTTTCACAGAAGGTGCAACTTCCCTAACACACAAGCCTAACTATAATTTCTGAAGTTCATTTTCCACTGTCCAATGTCAGATCACAGCATAAATGTATTTATTCCAAACATGCAAGCAAAAACTCACATTCACATTTGTGCAAATGAACCCACATACACAATAGGTCAGACTAAACATTTCATTTGTGAAGATCTCACTCACTCAAAGGTCAAGGTGTATGTGACTTTTATTTTGGTAGGCTGGCACAGAAAATCAGTCGCAGTAGCTCTGATTCTACCTGTCCACCACCACTGTCTCGACGATTCAGTGCTGCCCTTCGCTCTTGACCCTACAGGCCACAGCTGTGATCAGTGCCGCTCCCTTCCCACTTCCATCCTCAGACTTGTGGAAAGTCACCTGACACTGCGGTGCCAAATCCTGCAACGTCTCCTGCATGATGCTGGAGAAGCTTTAGGAAGAGTGAGAGGGGAGACAAAATAAAAAAGGTTGACCAAAAGGTTACATGTAAACCTACCCTTACTTACTGTAACTGCCAGAGTCAAAGATGAGTCAAGGCCAGCTGCCAGAGCAAAAGAAGCCATTTTTAGGCCTGTAAGGGTCACTTCCCATAGGGGGGGGGGTTTAGGGTGCTTTAGCTGCGCTGCATCACTTGACTACCACAATGAGTTGGGACTTGCAAATCTCTACTTCTGTGTCGTGACAACCCAACCCAATTCATTAAAAATGCGTGTTAGAATATGACTGCTCCTTACTGAGGGTGCGTCTTATAAAGGGTGCCGTCCACTCCCACGGTGATGGAAAGCTGATTCAGGTTGCGGTTCTGTCGTATCTTGTCAACCACAGCCGCTAAACCAGCGCCACAGAGTTGAGCTGCACGGCGGGCAACCACGCTACACACCTCCTTCACCAGTACGCTGTCGTCACATGTGGAGCTGGTGAGGCCCAGGTGCTGCAGAATTGAGCGGACCTGTCGCATGGCCAGACGGTCACTTTGGGATCAGAGAGAATCACTAGGGTTATACACATGGAAGAGATGTGCTGCTTTGTCTTGTCTTTGTGTGCACTATATCTATGAAGCAAGTTAAACTATAATCACTGCTACCAAGGTGGCTGATGTCACTGGTTGAATGCCATTATGGTGTTGTGTAGACAAAACACTGCAACACTACAAAAAATGGTTTTAGGTTGTGTTGCTGATCACGCAAAAGCTGCTTTAAGATGTGTGACCATTAGTTCACTGATTTAATGAGTTAATTAGTTAACTTGACCTTTTGTTGAGCTGGCACTGTTACTTTCAGTGGTTCAATGCAGCCTTTGTTGCACTCGTCTATCGTCACTGCAGCTCAGAGGCTCTTTTTATAGACTCAGGTCATGGTTGGAAATAAATACTGTTCCAACTGCGTTTTCACACACAGACAATAAGTCCAGTAAGTTCTACACTCAGCACTTCACTCAAGTACACAGACACATATATATTTATATCTAATGTTATATTAAGTGCTCCTGAACAGCCTTGCCATTTAAAAAAAACCTTGACCTTTCATATGAATGCATTTACTTAATTTTTAGCTTGGTGACGCCAGATGACTCAACCAGAGAGTGTGACTAAAATGAACTTGCTTTGCATTGGAGCCCCCCAGCGTCTATTTTCACTTGTGATCTGCGGAAATCATCATCATTTTTCATCTTTAAGCTGATGTGCAGTATAACACTTGATTTCAAATGCTAAAGGTAAAATCAGTCAAAACAAACCAATTCATCAACCAGTGCATCCTTGGCACCAAAATTATTATTTTAAATAATTATTTAGCTTGTTTACAAATATGTCTAAGACTAACACGAGTCACGAGTCTTGATCATCAACATCTCATTTTGATGACCAGGGCTTACTCAACACATTGCTGGGTCACTTGAAGCCACCTGTACTGTACTAGGTATTTGAATTCTATGTGAAAGCAACATATTACTGCACTGATGCAGTCCTACACCACAGGTCATTTTCTCCAGCCCCATTATCATTTAGTTATTATTATTTGCCCACAGCTAATTTTTTTAGTATAAGCTGGCTCTAGCTCGAGCACTCAGATGCACCACTGGAGATCATTTGCAAAGTGATCCGTGAAATAACAGAGTTCCTACACATTTTTCATTTCGCCGCTGGCCTGTTCACTGCAATACTTACCCTTCAAGCAAGCTTCCCAAGAGTGAGGGTGGATAAGGCAGTATACTGAACTAAGCAAAGAGTCATCCTACATTAGTGTGCACTAAACTGGACTATGTAGGAAAAATAAACATCTAATTAGACTTCATTATCAGCAGATGCAATGGATGTAACTTCACCTAACTGCACGTGGCATTGGTGTTAGTCACCCTCTCTCCCTCTCTGATCCTCAGTATTCATCCAATGTGTGATATAAAAGTGCCCGATATTATAAGCAACAGCCACTTACTGTGTAGTTTGACTGATGTGATCTTATTTTGTAGCACATCATTAATGCACAGTCTGGTTTTTGTGGCTTTGTGACTCACACCTGTGTTTTTTCTATTCTTACCACACAGTTACCAAGGTGAACAGGGGGGGGATCTGAAGAGAGACGCTGAGACTAGAACAGTCTGTAACACTCACCTTTCTATCTGTGACAGGAACTTTGTCTCGAAGATGCCCCGCGTTTTGAGTCGCTCGGACTGTCTGCCTCTGTACAGCAGACCCTTAGCAGTAAACTCCAGTAGCACATTCCTCACTATCTCCCCCAGGTACATGCCACTGATCATCTTCTCATACCTCAGAGAAAAAAAACACACAAACTGAAAACTTTCCACAGCCACACATTGGTAATATTCAGTTAATAATACTATTTTAAATTATACTACACACCTTTAGATTATTCTACTGTCACAAACTCTATAATCAAATTGATGCTGAGCTGAAAAAAAATTTTCTAATTAACTTAAATTAACCACACAGAATAGCTGTAACTCATTATTTTCAGGAATGAAAGCTCAGAGAACAAACAAAGGTGTAATGGTAGCCCAGTTGTTACAGAGATAGGTTTAATTAGAATAAAATTATCAAGAGGTGTGACAGAGGCTGCAATCTATTATGTCTAATGGCTCCTTTCATCTATGTACTCCCTGACATGTCATGGAGACAATTTCATAAGCAGACAGTCCAGACAAGCTACTTTCAAAAGGAAAAATGTTTAATTTAATACAATCAGCTGTACTGCTTTAACCAAACCCTTGTTTCCTGCGCCAATAAAGCCCTTTTGTATGAAGAGTGCTAGTGCTAAAGATCTGCTGATTGATTTAAAAATAATCACTATCTCACCAAGAACTGACGCTGTGCATTGACCATGCAAGTTGAGGTTTGAGCAAAGGTAAAGGAGGAAGAGCGAAATGAAAACACAGGAAGTCAAAAAAGTCAGTATGATCAACATTTGGTGAGCATTTAAATGTGAAAGTGTTCACTGGGCAGCATAGCTTCAAAGGGTCAGTTGTATTACTAACTCTAATACTCATGTTGTGAGAAACCCACTCTTGGGCTGTCTATTAAATATTGGCAGTTTCACAAAAACTAATGGCAGGTTGATAATGGGCTAACGAGCCAGCCGGTTCCAGCAATAGAAAAATGCCATTAGAAGTTCACACTGTATTTGTGACACCATGATGTTTCTCTGATGCGAGTGTTAGGTTCATAATAGACATTAGTAGATTTAATGTGTCATAAATAACCCATCAAGTACCTCTGTTTCCCAGGGTAGTTAGAGCAATCATCGACAAGGTGATCAAACTGGGTGCAGAAGTCATCAAGTTCACCGTTTTCACCAAATGCTCCCCACTCCATGTTAACACACATACGACCGTCATCACCCTCCACCAGTTCGACGTTCTGCATTTCCTCCATGTAGCAGACATTGGTCCCTGTGCCTGAATTAAAGACAGGTAGAAAGGTATGAGAAGTATTTCATGAAAGGAAAACATCTGTCAATTTCTTGAAAAGCTTCATTCCAAATAACATATCCACTCAGGAAAATAACACTCAATGTTTGGTAAGAGAAAACAGATTTTAATGTTTAAAACTGGAACAAAGAGACAAGCGTCCAGAGGGCAAGGTGAAGGGCAGACAGACTTACCTACGATGAGTCCAACCTCACATTTGGGGTCCTCGTAGCCGCAGGTCATCATGGTTCCCACCGTGTCATTAACCACCGCCACAAAGTTCAAGTCGAATTCCTGGAAGCAGTGACAACAAACTCATTTCCAACAGTCAATCCCATTAAAATTGTTGTGTTAATTAACCTAGGTATTTAAAGCGCCGATGCACCCAAAAAGATGTTGTCAGTTATTTTCAGGGGTTTGACAAGATCTCGTGCTGCCACTTTTAAATCGTTTGTTAAAGCATTTTGGGTGCCAGGTGGAAACAATAAATGGTGGCGATCAATATGAAAGTAACATTTCAAAATGCATTTGCATGCTTTTGCATTTTGTGACTGTCAGTCAAATAAAATACTATTTTTCCAGTATTTTGTCATAGAAGAGTTCTTAAAAATAGTGTTAAATCATCGTCGTGTCTCATTCAGGTAAACCCAATATCCTGTATCGTCTTGTCACATCAGCTAAATGTATCGTCGCACCTCTAATTATTTTAGTTGGACAACTGTCTGTTCAGCACTGTGTTTTGACATCTGTTTGACAGATGTTTTGACATCTCCCTATTTGAAACCAATAGAGGTTTCTTCACTGAACCCTAGGGCAGGGCACACGGTGCTGAGAGTCCTCCCCAAAGAACATTTAATGTTAAATGACTAAAAACTGCATATTCAGCCTCCTGTCTGTCAGGTGGGGGTGGGACAGTGAGTTTAGAGTGAAGGATTTTTTCCACATACCTGTGTACATAATAGTACCTTGTATTCTTTAACCTTTGTTTGTTTTTTTGTCCAATGTTCTTAGCAGTTATGTCTATTTCTGTGTAAGTACATTGACAGCAGTGAAGGTCGAATTCCTTTTATGTGTGAACATTCAAGGAATTTTTTACTGACCGTACACATCACAAATGGAATATGCACTGCCCAGGACCACAGGGCTCTGCAGTGGGTGATTAAAACCACCCAGAACATCATTGGTACTTATCTACCGAGCATTGGTGATGTCACTGAGGTGAGGTGACTATGCAGAGCCCAACGTACAAAAGACAGTACCCACCCCAGCAACAGCCTGTTCATGCTGCTGGCAAGAGATATAGAAGTATCCGCTGCCGTATCACCTTCAGAGCTGCTTCTTTCCCCAGGCGGGGAGAATTTTAGATTCATCCTCATCCCGCCAACAAAATGAATAGTTGTTAGGTTGTGTTGTGCTCTGTGTTGTTTGTGTGTGTAGCGTGAAGGGACTACAAATGTAAATTACAATACAATACAAGGCTGTGTAATGTAAAATTACCATTAAATGGACAATAAAGCTGATTCTGATTCTGACAAGATTTCAAAATTTTCTGTTTCTACATTAAATGCAAAAAAACTTACTTTGGCTTGTTAAAACAAAGAGGAGAGAAATGCCTAAGAGCAGTAATAGACTACAGTGTCTTCAGTCATGCACTGTGCTGCAGTCACTCAATGACACTGACAAGTGGATGTAGATGCTGCTCTTCTGAGCTCTTACATGTGACAAAGGAAACAGAGACACACAGGCAGGGACACAAGGCACATTGGTACAGGCTGTTTTGGTACGTCAGTATTGTTTGTAATCCACTTTGGCTGCTGTTATTACACTTTTTATTACATTATTCAAGTTCAACATTCACAGACCAATCAATATGATTTCTGATAATGTATTTGTCAGTGTTTCCCACATTTAGACTTTATTTGGGCAGTCCACTCAGGTATATTAGCCAGCCCCTTTCAAAAATTTTACAGAGAAATATAGAGAGAGATCTTATCTGGTATTCTGTTACAAGACGCGGACACGGTAGATATTTTACATGGACTAGGTACAGTGAACAGCGAACACACCACTGCAGATGTCATTCAGTACCACGTTGGGTTCAATCGTTTCGATAGGCTGCGTCGTTAACAAGCCTCCTCCCACATGCGGCGCACCTCCTGCTGTAAACAGAATCGTGGGTTCTGACGTCTGCGACATCATGAAATGTACTGCTGATGGAGAAAGTCAGCACAGCAGACACATCCAGGAAGAGAGAAACAGAAAGAGAAGAGGAAGATGGTGTGTTTGCAGTAAGAGAGACCAGAGGTGTGTGTGGGGTGGGGGGTTGAAGGGAAAGGGAGCAGATTGAGGTAGTGAGTAAACACTAAAATAAGGCAGAGAAAGAAGTAGAATTAAAGTGGTGAAGTAATAAGCAACTAGAACTAGAAACATGCTCAATCTACCCGCTGGGTCCAGTGTCTTTCAGTAGGAAACACTGTTTGTGATATACTGACCTGTCTGCGGCGAACAGCATCTTTAAGTAACATAACGACATCTTGTCCCTCACAGCCACTGGCTTTGAAACCCTTTGTCCACTTCAGAAGAACGCCCTGGACAAATAAAGCAGTGATTTGTGTGAGTGTGTACAGAGATCATTTGACTATACTTAAGATATGTGGAGGTCTATGTTTTATCCAAATCATATTTAAAATCAAAAGTGTTGATTGCCACATTGAACAATACAGTGCAGCAGTAAATAAAACACACAGGTAAATAAAGGTAACAGGGTTTGGCCTTGTGGTCCTCCAAAGCTCAAGACCAAAATTACCTGTAGACCAAAATTACTTTGCAGGTGATTGGCCTTAAATCAAACCACATATGACAAACATCGTTGAATCCTGAACATGAACCCTTCCTATACTTCATGAATGGTCTATGTGGTGGTCTCTGGGGTTTGCTTTTTGTTTTCTTTCTGGAAAAACAAGGCACCTTCAACAGTCGTAGAATGTGTTCCTGCATTAACCCATGACTGAATCATTACTTATTTTAGACATCAGAAATTTAAGAGGTGGTGATTCATTGCTTAGTTTAAAGTCATAGTGCAGTGCTTCTAATTGTCGTCATCAGCTGAACAATACTCCCCGTTGATCTCTGATTGTTCCAACATCCGCTGCAAAGTACACTTGATTGTCAGTATTTAGTTTTTAATATGCCATTGTGAAGACTGAACTTGTAAGATGTGGATATAGTGTTCCCTTGTCGCAGAGCACAGTCCAGAGTGGCCACTCTACCTAATACACTAATATTCTTGTAGAAGGTTAAGTGCCATATGGTGTGAAAGTATGGCTAAACAATTATTTCAACACAATATGCCAATTATGGTACACATAAAGGACGATAATGGTCCTTCTAGGTCAAATTCCCTCTCCTTGACACACACATTAAAATTCCTGTTCCCATGTTTTTCATGTATAGCGACACAAACAGATACCTGTACATACAATAATTATTTCACCTGAAGTGTGTTTTAAAGAAGTGAAAAAATTAATTCAAATTAAATTTGTCATATTTTGCTACATTAAACCTGCACAATATTACCATCACTGTGTTAAAAACAATACTATTAGGGGCTATACATAACGAATATCTATTAATCTAATGATTATTTTTTCAATTTGTCGATTAATCTAATGACTAATTTTGTGTATTCTAAAGAGAAAAAAAATTTCCCTATTACTCACACAACACAAAATTTTTCCAAAATAAATATAAAAACAATACTCCAGGGAGCGGCTGTGGCTCAGGAGGTAGAGCGGGTTGGCCGTTAATCGGAAGGTCGGCGGTTCAATCCCTGGCTGCCCCTGGTTGCGTGTCGAAGTGTCCTTGGGCAAGATACTGAACCCCGAATTGCCCCTGCGGCTATTGCAAAAGTGTATGAATGTGTGTGATTGGTGAATGCAGATGTAGTGTAAAAGCGCTCTGAGTAGTCGAAAAGACTAGAAAGGCGCTATACAAGTACGGAGCATTTACATTTACATGTCTAACATGTCTCTGAAGCACATTAGAATAACATAAGAAAAACTTGACATGGATTTATTTCAATACTGAGTAATGCAGTATGATAATCAAATGTATTTCTGCATCAGTGTGGGGCAAAGAAAACAACAGAAACGATTCACGACTGTACTGTTTATATAAATAAACAGAAAATATGAACATGACAGCAGCAGGGAAGAAATTACTTTGAAGGCAATAAGCACAAACATGAAGGCAATAAAGAAATACTTTTTATATTTTAGCGGACTAGGTGTCCTTGTGCTGATAATGTGCAGTGCTTGTGTGGAGACAGAATGACAGAAAAAACTTGATTTGCGGTGCTGCTGTTGCCGTCTAGACAAAGTGCTTCAGGACGCTTCCGCTTCACATGGTCATGCTGCTTCACGTATTTATGGACAGCAGCTGTGCCGTAGTGAAGCCATTTCCAATTCACAGAGCTCATGGAGCAGCATGTTGTTGTCTAAAATACTCCCAAACTTTAGACGGTTGAAAGTGCAGTCTTGTAACTGCAGCTTGTCCAGGGAAAATCCCTGCTAACACCGGACGCAGCGACGCTTCGAAGTAAGTAATGCGAGTCGACGTATGTACGTAATCGATTACGTCGACTACGACGATGAATCACCCCAGCCCTAAATACAGTGCATTAACTACTTTATTAATTTTTAAATTAATATTGAATCAAACATTACCTGATCCAGTTTGCTTTGATGACATGGGAAAGAGAATGTAAATCCCAGAGGTAAGGATGCTCCTTTCATGCCCATGTATTCCAGAAAGTCGGCGATGCAATACACAATGTGGCTGAAAAGCTGACACACAAGAGACAGAAAAAGCAGAGATCATCTCTCAATGTATTCTAAGACATTATAAATATAGTACATGTCCCAGTCCCCCGTTTTTCAATATCATTTTCTTATACTCATTCATTGAGACATAGATTAGTACAATTCAGATTTGCACAACCTATGGCATCTTTTTGTTATAATTTTGTTTGAGGATCAATCAAACATGACTCAAAGATGACTCAACCTCAAACATGGCAGAGGTCCCTCAGTTCCATCTTTTCAGTCACTGCAATTGCTTATTATGTGATATACTGAAGTGCTTCAACCTTTTACCTCTTCCCCTGTGCCCTGCATGGTCTCCTGTGGGATACTGTAGATCTTGTGGTGCATCTCCACTTTGGGTTTCTTTCCACTTCGCACTCGCACCAGCAGCACCCGAAAGCTGGAGCCCCCAAGGTCCAAAGCCAAGAAATCACCATGCTCTGATGAGGATAACAAAGACAAGATACATAAAAGCATTACAGAAAAGAGGAAACTTAAATCAACTGGAAGATCTGCTTGTCTCTTAAAGCTACCTGTTCCATCTGGCGTAGATCTGACATAAGTGGGAAGCATCTTAACGCTTGTCTGCTCGTGGGTTTGCTTTGAGAGTCCTCGCACCATCTCCTCACTCATTCGCCTCTTCACCTCCAGCAGCTGTTCACGGCTCAAACGCAGAGTGTTGAGGATGCGCTGACGCTCAGCATGTTGAATGGCAAGACGATAGGCCACTGCTGTTACCATGGCTGCACCCTTCCCACTACCACACTGCGACTGCAAAAAACGAACATCGCAGTCCGGCACAAGTCGCCGTACCATCTTGTGCAGCCTCCTGGAAAACCTATAAGATACATTTTGTAAAATCTGATAAATGACCTAATCTACCTACAGTGTGTGTGTGTGTGTGCACACGCGCATGTGGATGTTATTAGCCCACATTATGAAGTGTGAAAACATGAATTAACAAATCAATGTTTTAAACTGTGAAGATAATCCTGCAAGATAAATTTTCAGACCTTAGCCAAGGTCTGCACTGGGTGCTTTCTTGTTTGTAAAGCAAAGTACTCATATAGTTATAGAGTCTATAAGCTGTTTGCCTGATTGCCTTCACTTTTAATTACATGTTCTCCCTGTGAGCACATAGGATGATTTCTTCTGTGTGCTCATCTTTTGAAAGCTTTTTAAAAACAGTGCTTTAAGAAATTATAAGAAGGTTAAAATCCTATTTGGTCAAAGGTGGGTTAAAAATCTAGGGAAACTGAGAGGCTTGGATGACTGACTAACTGGCAGGGAATACCAGCTATTTAACCTCTGTGGGGTTGTTTTTAGGGTGATATATAGCGCTTGGGTCGTTAGTGCTTCTGGCTGTTGTAACCACATTCATTATCTTTGGAGGTGAGGCCAAGTATGAAAGACCGTCATTAGCATTGTTGTAAGTGGGGGATAGGGGTGTTGCAGGTCTCCTCCACTGTTGAGGGACGGTTTCTCTACTCTGGTGTTGATGGCTTCTTTGACTCCTCTTTCAAGCCATCTGTTCTCCTTGTCCACATTATGTAAATTCATGTCCTCAAAGGAGTACCCTTTATCCTTCAAATGTATGTAAACTGCTCTGGCTTGTGATGTTTTTCTCTGATACTCCAAACACTTCTTTTCCTCATCCCGCGTAGTGTTGGTGTTGTTCCTGGATTCTGTGACTGTTACAAAGGTTATCCACAAGCTTTAAGTGCATCCTTCAGGTGTTTATTCTCCTTCTCTTGGGCTTGGGCACTTGTTGGTAGGGTTCTGGCAACCCCTAGCTTATGCTCCAGTGGGTGGTGAGAATCAAAGAGTAAGTATAGGTGGTTGTGTGGGGGGTTTCTGTATACTCCTGTCTTCATGTGTATGGCATAACGCTGTGTGTATCCAAGAAGGTAAAGCTGTTGTTGCTGACATCCTATCATGTGAACTTGATGTTACTGTCCACTGTTTTGATGTACTCTGTGAAGGCTTCCTGGGTTTTAATTTTGACCCAAATTGGTCAACTTGGCTCTTCAACAATCAGAGTTGACCAAATCGATTTTAACCATCTTTCTTGAAGCTTTGTGGAAAGTCTGTTTTTATCTCAGGTACCATTGCCACTGTAGGCCGCGGTGCTGGTCGCTTTAGCAGACTCCTTAGCCTCCACGACTGGCTTCAGTCTGCTTGCAGGGCTCATGTTGTGTGTTTTATTGTTCTCTTTTTAAGAGAGAACAAACTGGGCTCAAGAATGCTAGCCGCTAACATACAGCATGCGGTGCCGTTGATACTGTAGATCACAGCATCCCAACTGAAAGGCTTAAGCAGTGGGTGGGTGTCTCTGGGAGTACCCTGGACTAGTTCTCATCCTAGCTCTCAGGAGTTTTTCTGTCTCACTTAGTCCCTATACAGTGCATCCTGAAACTTTTTCCACATTTTGTCATGTTACAGCCTTATATCATTTGTTTTGTATATGCTCCCCTTAGATCATTATCAGCCAATTTTAAGACATCTCTTATCACTGTTACGCAGTATGACATCAGGCTGTATGTTTCTTTTAAGCCTGATGAAGCAAACTGACTGTTTTGCACAATTGTCTGACTGCCATTAAGGACTGGATAGCTAACAATTTCTTACAGCTCAATGCAGATAAAACTGATGTCCTTATTGTTGCTCCAGATAGTATAGCTTCCAAGGTTGCTCAGTGTCCTGGGTCCCTTTCTTCAGCTTTACAGTCTAGTCTCTCTAATCTCTCTCAGTCTCAGTCTTGATAAATCTATATACTTGTCAAACTTGCCAACATGTCAAATCACTGACCTATGCATGTTTCTTCCATTTAAGAAACAATGCCAAACCGACAACATTGGCTTCCTGTCAGGTTCAGGATTAATTTTAAGGTTCTTGTTTTCATATATAGAGCCCTGCTTGGTCAGGCACCCATCTCTGACCTGCTCCACTCTTAGGCCCCATCCACACTACTCAGTTTTGGTTTAAAAATGGAGTTTTAAAACAAATACAATCTCTGTCCACCTCAGCGTTTTAGCTGCGTATCAGAACTGATCTGCGTCTACATTAAAACGTCTAAAAACGCACATCTAGTGGCCGTTCACGTACACTGGGCATGCGCATGCCGGTGTAAACATGAAGCAGATGGTCTATTACGTAGTTACAGAAGATCTGGCAAAAGAATAAAGTAATACAGACAAATAACCACTCCAGGTATTTTTTTTTTGCATGGACCAATAACTAGCTGGGACTGTTACTGAATTTAACATGGGAGTTAAAAGCGACTGTGGCGGCAGAAAGCAGACTGGTAGGCGTCGCAAAGTAAACGGCGACATGCACAGTACAATTGTAGGCTAGTACTGTGTGCTAGTGTTATTTGCACGGTACAAATAAAAAATGTAATAAAAATACCAAGTCAAAAACTCAGTAGCATCGTGCTTCTGCTTTGCATGACTTATAACACCCAATCAGAGCGCCAAAGTTGAGAGTCTGCGTCGTCATTTCTAAAGTCCTCCGTTTTTGCCCGGGATAGGCAGCGTTTTCAAACTTCTCCTTTTTTTTTTAGTCTGGACGGGAGGTGCAATCGTAGCAAAACGTCTCCATTTTAAAAACAAAAACGCAGAAGTGTGGACGGGGCCTTAAATGAGCAGTTCATGCTCATGTTTTATTGTTGTTTCTTTGCTCGTTTCATGGTCGTTTTCTAATAATTAACTGTGAAAAAACACTGATCTTGCTCTGTGAAAAATGCTATACTAAATAACTTTCATTCCTCAGTCCAAACAAACTCAGGGACATGCAGCCATATACAATGAATGGTGAGTTTGTCCATTCAACAATGTGAATTCTGACAAAAACTCTTGTTCGTGTTACATTTACCTGACGCTTTTATCCAAAGCAACTTACAATTGCTATACATGTCAGAGGTCGCACGCCTCTGGAGCAACGAGGGGTTAAGTGTCTTGTTCAGGGACACAATGGTGGATTGAACCCAGGTCTCTCACACCAAAGGCATGTGTCTTATCCATTGTGTCTTCGCCACCCTATACAGCTGACATGTAATAAATCTAGGGCTGCAGCTAATGATGATTTTAGTACTCGAAGCTTCTATAGATTATTTAATCGATTCATTGTTTAAGAAGGACTTTTGCTTGGCGGCGACGGCACCCCCGGTAATGGCATCAGCTGTGTATGTTGATTATTGATTGATTAGTCTTTTCGGAAATTCATAATGACTCATACAGCAAACATCAGACCAACAACATCAACAGACCAACAACCAGACAACTGCTTTACCAACACAAAGATCACCCGAGTGCTATAAGTTATATTAAGGCGCAGCGCCGACACAGAGACGTTACAACCCAAACTCACGGCCCAAGCAGGAGAACCACAAATGCACGTGTGCACATTTTCAGCTGAGGACTGCGGCTTATTTTGGCTAGCCTTCAACTCAACAATCAATCATGATTTCAGTTAAATGCTAAAGTTGCTGTTGCTTTTACCTCGTCTGTGGTCCGCCGATCAGGTGCCGTCGTGCTGTTGCGGTAATGTTAGGCAACATAAGTTTCGGTGACAGACTGACATTACAGAGTTGTTGTTTTCTTTTAGCTTGAAATAATCCCATACTTTGGTCACTTTCTTCTTCGTCCCTCGCTATTTTCTCTCTCTTCCTCCACTTTGCAAACAGCGGCATCATAATCACATCGTGTTCACACAGCGTAAGTGGTGCAAAGAATTTGCGTTGATGCATTTTAGTAATGCAATTAATCGATTTAATTTATGAATTATTTCAGCCCTAAATAAATCCTGTAGCTCATCTGCAATACACACGTATTGTACGCAGAAATTCACTAAGCTCCGTAGCTCAAGTTCATGTGTGTGTTTGTGAGGTACATAGGAACAGTTGTGGTGATGTTCAGGAAAACTTACTCTGGATGATTTTTGTAAACAGAGCCGTCCACTCCAATTGTGGCACGGAGCTTCTCGGCTGCTTTGTTATCACGGATCTGCCGCAGCACTGCCACTAGAGCAGCAGCACACAGGTGTGCGGCCCGTGTAGACACTATCTGACACACCCTCTGAGTGGCTATGCAGTCCTCAACCGCCGGGTCCAGGCCGAGGCCCCGAAGAACCTTTTCGGCGCTCATCAGACCTTCCTCATCTCTGCAGGTAAAGCAGAATACAAATCACATTCCCTTTGACTGATTAGTGTGATCCTGAAAAGGGAAAGATCACATCACAGGTAAAAATGAACAGCTGGATAGACATGTGGCACATTAGTTCTGCTTCTTAAAACTTTTGCTTCTTAAAACTTTCTGCGTGTCCATATATCTGAGTATACATACATGGTGCAAGATTAAAATAATTTAATGATGCATTGTTTTCTTGTAGGGTATAAACATTGCTCAAATACCTATTACTAATATTTTCTCATTATTCTTCAAAACACTACTGATACAACTTTACCCTCCAGGAGAAAAACATAATATTAGTGCCCCTTATCAGAAAATGGTTGTATTTAGCTGGCTTAACAAGTAAGTCTGTTAACAGTGCAAAATAATTGCTAAGTGCCATTTTAACCTGACACTATGACCTGCCTGCATCTCCTGCTATACTACAAATAAGATGATATAACATCTTTTCTGCCCTTGCATATAAGTCAGAAGGGACTGAAAACATTACCTGAGCATGTTCTTTGTGTATTTAGATTAGTCAGTGATTACCAGCTTGACTAACACATGCTGATACAGTCTATACAGTCATCTCATTCTTCCTGGTGATACAATGTTAGGTGAAAGTTAAACAGCCCATTGGACCTTTTTGTGACCTTGAAGATGTTTTGTTGCTCTTCAGTTCTAAGTGGACACTATTTGTCTGCTGCTTACAATACCATTGTACCATCACTGCATCTCAGTTTTTCAAATACACACTCACACTAATCATAATGTCTGCCGTAAATCATAAAGGAAGTGTAAGATCTGTCCATGAAATTATGAACGATGGGCTTGATGCACAAAACAATAGGATATACCTCCATTTGTCATGTCTATTTTTCCAGGTAATCAAAAAATGAAACTAGGATAATAAAAATCAAATTAGTAATAACAGCTGTTTGTCTCCTGCCTCTGTGATAACAGCGTTGACTTGCTTCTGGCAGCTATTCACACCCACCGGTCATTCAAAACAGCCCCATCCTTAATTATGCATAACTTTAAGCCTTAATACAATACAATACAATACAATACAATACAACCCCCCCCCCCGGACACACACACACACACACACACACTAACTTGTCATTCTCAATGGCATAGATGTAACTGGTGTTGAAGCTTCCAGTGGTGAGGAGCGCTGCTGTGGTCTTGCCCTGGAATAGCAGCTGTTCTTTGGTCATCCTCACCAGGATAAGACGCACCAGTTCCCCCATGTACATGCCACTGATCATCTTCTCAAACCTGCACGGCAACATAAAAAGAAAAGGAACAAAATACTGTCACACCCATATTTACTAAAGGAATGTTCAAGTTAATAGTTTCATTCATACATTACACCAGCCAACCAAAATACTGAATCTACGAACACTGAATGCCTAGCAGACGCTGAACTTTTGACACACAAACACAGAAAGTTTTCACTCTCCTGGCAAAGACCGAAATCTGAGAATCTGTGCCCTTTCATAGATTCCCTTACTTCTTCAGTAATCAAAACCCACAGGGAATTTTTAACACTGTGCTAGGCCTACAACTATTAGAGGATGTCAGCAGAGAATTGCCAGGCACTCGGTGATCATGTTATTTATTAGGCAGAAACTTTAATCTTTGTTGACATTCAGCATCACGAGCTTGTTAACCTGATATTTCATCCGCATCGCTTGACACTGAAGTACTACAAGGACACAGATCATGCAGTTCACCTCAGAACCAAAATCACCATGAACTCATGCACTTCACCTTCCATTTCTCTTTTTATTGTAACGAACATGATCTTGAATTGCTTTTCTATAATAGAGTTCTTTATATCTAAAAGAGAATAGTTCTTTTCTGACATTTTCCAGGCATGTTCAACTTGATCTGCCTTTGGTAGCTGGTGATAATAGCAACTAATTATGTAGAATAAGTTCAGCTACTTATTTCATTGTGTGAATCGGTCACTGCGGCGCGCGGTAGGCTAGCTGAACAGATCGCCTCTACAGTCAACTTCTGTGCTCACGCTTCCGCTTTCTGACCTGCATTTGAACTTTGGTTATCATGCATTAATCCAGGCAGGCAAACAAAAAGGTATGTAATGCCGTGATTTGGCAAACCTGTTGTCAACATGGCTTCAGCAAAATATTATTATTTTGAATTAATCTAAAAGGTTAAACCCTCATTTTGACTAAGCAATCATATTGTAGCTAGTTACCACATGATCCAGCTAATGAATCATCAGATGTGTTTTCATTTTCATCTTTTATTATTCCAAATCTCAACAGCTGATAGCATATGGCTCTCCCATGTTTACCACTATGTACATTTCCTCCTCGTTCTGCTGGCCTCATCTCAATTAACAGGTGGGCATCAAAATAAATCTGCTACAAACACCCTGTACTGCACTGTAACGTTTACTATCGTGTTTTTCAGTGTACAATTTTTCTAGAATCAGATATTCATTGCTTTTTAAACCCGACTGGTTTCTCCTCTTTCATAAGTAGCCAGACCAAGTCTTAACAGGGCTGAGTAGAATTAAGCTTTCTTCACAGTTTTGACTGCTTTTACCAAGACTGTAGCACAAACGATCTGGATTCACAGTGATGATCATGAATAAAAGGAAATATCATACAAGGATTGAGTGGTGTGAGAGATGGAAAATCAAATAAGCAAACAATGCAAGGTGAAAAGCCTGATTATTTGTAACACATTAGAATTATGGGTGAGCAAATAGGTTTAATTGGTTTTTATTTTCTATTTGACCATTTAAATAAAAAAAAGTCTTATAACATATTTTTTTACATTTATCTATAATGCTTTTATGTTTTATGTAAAGCACTTTGAATTGCCTTGTTGCTGAAATGTGTTACACAAATAAAACTTGCCTTTTCGGGTCTTAAAGGTGTAAATTAAAATGAGTAAATGCTCATCGCTGATCTTATGTTCACTTTAATGTAATCAGACCAAAGAAAAGAAGAAAGAAGAACAGACAATAACAGATGAAAGCAGAGGAGACATGGAGGTAATAAGAAAGGATCAACATAATGCTTCAGAAGGCAACAGCCTACAATCAGCCACAGCTATCCGTTATGTAATCATGTAGATCCATACGGCTCAAATATGAACAGCATGTTTTCCAAATAATCTCATGCCGACACTTGTGAACTCAGTGGACAGAGAGGGAGATGGAAGCACAGAAGGGACATGGAGACAGCGGCAACACGGGCGGCCTGGAGGTGGTCACCTTATATAGATCAATATACACACAGTTATTTACAATCTTATATTTGAACCAGATCGTTCATGGAACAAAGGAAGAGTGGGAAGGTGAAGGCAGCAGGGTGACTTGGGGGATGTGAGTGAGATTAGACATCTTTATGGACAGAAATGAAGTATCAGGCTTTATTTGGAATATGTTGTCCACATTTGGGAGCACACCGTTTTATTTTTGGTGCACGGTGTGCCGACATGAGCTGGAGTATAGCCCAAGACAGAACTGATATATTACGCCATACAAACAGAGAGTTTCATTTCAAAAGGCAAAATTGAATGGAAAGATGACCCTGCTGAGGTCAAATGTCAGATAATAAAGTGATAAAAATCCAACTTGTATAACTCTGCAACTTCCGTGTAAAATATATCTACAGCATGTAGATGGTAATAACATTTAATGTAATTTGGTTATGTTAATGTGTATCTAACCTATCTTACCTAAAATCAGTGTATTTTCACCCAAGTGCATATGACTACATTATATGTACTTTCATTACAGACCAGAAGAGCCATGGTTAAGGTGGTTAAGCCATGTCCGTGATACAGCACAATATCTACTTGGGCTTCTCAGACCACTTGAGCCCACTCTTTAGGTGTCATTTTCTATATATATATATGTGAGACTTTGGAGTGGAACCACTGAAATGACTAGTTAAATTGAAGAGCCCATGGTCTCTAGGTCTCATTGTTATTACATCACTCCTGCAACTTCTTAGTGGGCATTAATGATTTATGAATTGCAAACTGTTATGAATAAAGATGTGGGTTTTTTCCTAAACGCCAGCTTCATATGTTTCATTTAACTGAACAACATGGGGCCTTCCTCTCCTTTCTTTAGGAACAAGGGTTCTCTCATTCCTCATTGTGGGTGTGGTGTAGTCAGTTTATATATCAGTATCAGGAACAATGTATCTGACAATGTACAGTGTGATATGTGTTATATTATGTGGTGAGGTGTGGCGCAGCACACGTAAAATAGCACTGGGAACTGGCAAATGGCAAGAAAACGTTTATATTCCATTTTTTCAGACGGAATGGAACAGTAATTGTGGGGATGGAGAAGGGGACCGGAAATGGGGAAACAAAAACTTAGTTGACCCTTCATGAGTTCAGGCCAGCTCAACTTTGAGTTGTTGTGTATCACGCCCATCACGTAGCAACAAGTGTTGTTTGCAGCTTTATTTCACCGGCTTCCATTGACAATGACTTGTAGCGTGTTATTTTGTCACCAGTAGTCCACAAAAGCAGTGGAAAATCTAAAATATATATATATTTTTAAGATGTTTTTTAAACTATTTATTAGAGTTAAACTAGAGGCTTGGTTGGAAAGATTATCAGAAACATATTGGTTGGTTAAAATGTGAATGCACTTTAGGAAACAGCAGGTCTGAGATCACAACTGACTCTCCCAACTATCACAAGCTAATGTTACCTAGCAACCTTAGCACAGATATTTCCTTTCTGACATTTAGGGATAATGTCAAGGAAAAAAGGTAAAAGCTAGACAGCTTTTTTCAGATTGCCAAATACTGGGACTGATAGAGATGAGGAAAAGACTGCTAACATTGGCGGCGCCACCTTGTCTTTGGTGTAGCGTCCTCAGGAAAGACGCTACAAAAAGAACAGCTGAGTTTCAATTATGTCAGTAAGTAAACAGCACGTTTACTTTAATGCAACATCGTAGCAATACTACATACCCAGTCTTTTATTGACTCCAGTGTCAAGGACACACAATTATAAGTAAAAAGAATGCACCAAGCGCCAGTTGTTTCCTAGGCCTTAATGTGATCAGTTTGGATCTCTTGGTTGATCCGGCAGAGTAGCAGATCAGGGCTTCTGCAAGGGTTTTGTACAGTGCAAAAGCTTATTATTATTATTAAATTATTTATTTTAATTGAATTTATTTTCCTCACTGTGGCTGCTACTTCTTGGTCTCTTTCTCACAGAAATTTTTCAAACTGATCTGCTGTCAAAAAATGCTGAAAATGACAATTTTGATAAACGATAGCGGAATCACATTTCCTTTGACTACTTTATAATAAAAAGTCAACTCGTTTGTCGCTAGTGAAATGCTTTTCAGGTGAAGCTGCAGCAGTAGGAAGGGTTTGGTTTGCATTAGCAGTAACTTTCAGATTTTGATTAATACAGCGTTTTTTTCAGGAATGTCACGACTATCTCTGCCATAGGTTCAACACCCAAACACATGAACATTGGGGTAAATTATTTTTAGGTAAATTACAGGCCAATATTACCCATTAATTATAATATAAATCAATTCAGATCATTTAAGCAAGTCAGTATCACTGAGACTAGAAACTATTATACACTACCTAATATATCCTGACCATCACTTCCAAATTACAAGAACCGAATATACCATCAATCACAGTATCATTTTGATGCAAAAAAAGCTTTTGATAACAGTCCTGAAATGGTAAACAAAAGCCATATGGTGGAAATGTTGTTTGATTATTGGTTATACAGTAAAAAAAAAACAACAAAACTCGACAAATTTCTACCTGGATATTATCATGAAGCGCTGTCAGGTTCATGTTGGTGTTGGTCGACATATCAGAAGACTTTAGAGGGTTACGCACATGAACAACTCATAAGACGTTTAGAAGGTATTTAATAATGCAGGAGGAAGAAACTCTGCATCAGATGGTCTCATCACAGATCATTCTATTACTTGTTTGCATTTGTCATACGAAGTGGACCAGTAAAGTAAGTGAGCCACAACTGCAAACATGCAAAAACAAGTTGGCCCATGCAAATAGCTAGTAAAGGCTTATCATGTTTACAGAATCTATATGTATTCTCCTTGAATGAATTAATGCATATACCTACATGCAAAATACCTAAAAAATATTACATATTATAATAATTAGCCTACAAATTATTATATATTGAACATATTTGTTAAAGTATTTTTTATAGTATCTCTTTCATATTTTGAATGTAATTTTTCTCTGTATTCATTTCTCTATATTCAAAATCAAGATCAAGTGAGTATTTGCCCTTCTGCTCCACGGGAGGTTTCTGTCCTCCCCCCGAGCTCGCTTTAGGACACCTCCGTTATTGTTTGACAGGTGTACCATCCCAGTTAAACTCCCCACCTTCTGTTCTTGACTGTTGCAGTACTTTGTTTTTATTTTTATTTCCTCTTACTGTGTTTATGTATGTACCAAACAACAAGGCAAACAGTGAAAATCTACTTGGCAATAAAACATATTCTGATAAATATGAAATATTATAAATAATAACACATTAAATCGTACAGTTATTATAATTAAGTACTTTTTTTAAATGACACACATAATGTTAGCTTCTCGTGATTAGTTTGAATGGTGTTCACACCAGAAATGAACAGCTAGAGAGTTCACTTGATAGTGGTCTGAGACCACCCCTTTGAGGCGGACCAGAGTGTGGTTATTAAGTCCGCATCACAGTTTGAGTCCAGCGTTCACATCAACCCAAAAGAACCGTGCCAAGAGGGTTAATATTGCAGGGTTTGGTCCAACTGGACTAAACACGGTTGGTGTTAACCGGCCAATTTATACTTATGCTACACCAGTAGCTAGGCCGTCATGAGCATTTATAGTTGTGCGCTGGTGTCTGCGATTAAAAACCCAAAATGCTAGTTGGCAGTGGGGGTTTCTATGTTCCACTGGAATGAGTCTCTTTTCCGCTGTTGTTGGTGTAGACTACTACAAACAATGGCGACTGAAACTGAGCGGATCATGTTGGAGTTAGAGATGGAATCTATGGTGTAGATTCAACGCAGTATATTTTGGCCTTTAGCCATGACAGGAATTACACCCTGAGAATGAGAACCGCATCTGTCTGTAACAAGGCGAAATGGCATGAGAATGTTGTCCTGATAAAAATAATACTATGGAAATGCACATTATGGTGAATTGAGAGTGACAAAAGGTATACACTTTGCATTAACAGCAAACAGCAACAACAGCTAATTTAAACGAGCAGGTCAGATATCACAGAGATGATTATAGTGACATGAAAAATTTAAATTAGAAATAAAATCATCAAGAAGCCTGTCTGCAATTGAGTTACGTGAAGCTACTACAAAGAGATGTTTTATGTAGTAGCAAGACAGATAAGCTTAAAGCCACTTACAGCTGCTTGCCAGGGTTCAAAGAGCCTGCGTCTATTTCTTTGTCAATGTCAGTGCGCAGGTCGTCCAGGGCACCATCGTCTCCAAAAGCACCCCACTCTGTATTAACACACATCCGCCCCTCATCGCCGTCCAGCAACTCAAGGTTCCTCATCTGCTCCATGTAGCAGGCATTGGTACCCGTTCCTTGAGGGAAAAAAGCATAATAATTACTGTGCAGTTCACATCCAGAAAAGACCCAGAATGACAAAAAATGTTACTGCATTCATGTTTGAATCAGATGAATCAACCTGTCGCCCTCTCCCAAGGCCATTAAAGCAATGATTCTTCACCAGAATCTCCACCAATATCTACTTTTTGTTTAAATGTTAACAGTTTTGGTTTGTTTCATTATCATAAAATGTGTCCTGTGAATTTTGTTGTTTTTGTTCTGCGATATTGCCTATCTACTGTTAATTTAGTCTATGCTGCACGCCATGTTGATCTTAAAGGTGAATAAGACATTATGAAGTATGTTTTACGCTATCAATATTGCGATATGTTTTATGCTATCGATATTGCGGTATGTTTTTACGCAATTGATAAGTTGGGGAATAGCCACCTTATTGTGGTGGAAGGGTTTGTGCATCCCTGTGACCCTGGGAGCTGTGTGGTCGGGGGCAACACCTCCTGCCAGGCTCTACAAAAGCAAATTGGTTCCAGGTTGCCAAACAGACAGGTTGCCAAACAGACAGGTTGCCAAACAGACAAAAGTCCCTTTTCCATCCGGATGGTGCCAGTTCACCAGATATCTAGCCTACATATGACTTTTTTGGTTTTACATTGGGAAAATCTGGTACCTGGGAGGTTTTTTGGTATCACCTCCGTCGAGGTGTCAAACGAGTTGAAGGAATAACAAAAAAAGTACTGATTGGTCAGACAATCATCACTATTCACTGCATGCATCATTGTGTCCTGAAAAAACTCGCCATTTTCAATTAGTTTAGCCAGAGATTGCCAGATAGTAACTGTTACAATACTCTTTGCACTTCATAACAGCTACATACAGAGAATCAAAAAGGGCAACACTTCAATATCCTCGTATACAGGCTAGTCAACAGGTAAGTGCTTTAAGAGCCATAAAGGTCCCACATGAATCAGCCACAGAGGAGATGCACCACATCACTTATTGTTCTGAGTCTTTTGTGGTGGCAACATTTCAATTTCAATTTAATATGGATAGCCCCTTGAGATGCAGCATCTCGTTTTCAAGAGGGTCCAAAGACACATAAATTATACAACAGGAAAAACAAAAACCAACAAACAAAAAACAAGTGCTCAAAACAATTGAGTTACTAGGCAGCTTACAACCTCGCCCCAGACCGAAGACACATCATAGCTCAGACATGTTACAGCTAGCTCAAGTACATCTCATTTACCTCATTACACAAATGAAACCCATAATACATAAGAGATTCAATACGGAAAAGATATTACATAAGAAAGACAGAGGTCGAATCCACAGGAGGTAAATCAATTAGACAATTACATCAAGCAAAATACAATTACAAGAAATACTGTTTAGTCCAGCATCAGTAACATACACACACATTGTTAAGATATTTAAATATAGATAACCTTAATCTGCGAAAAGATGAGATGGATCTAAAGGAAAGAGGGAGATTGTTCCAGTCACAAGTAGCTTTATAATGAAAAGCTTTATGTCCAGCAGCTGAAAAGATTCCTGGTACAGTAAAGACGAGATATTGCATCTCTCTAAGTGGATACATAGAACTACAAGGAACCAAGAGTTCTTTCAGATATGGTGGACAATCAAAGTAGGCACATTTGAAAATAAATAGGAACCAATGGAAACCTCTTCTTGAATTAAGCTGAAGCCTATTTAGTGATGCATACATTACACAATGATGAGTTTTAAAAGGATACCTCAGAACAAATCTACATAGAGTTAAAGACAACATTAAGTCGCTTAAGAACAGTGTCACTAGTGTTCATGTAGATGATATCAGCGTAGTCAGTAATGGGAAATATCAATTGAGAAATTAACCTTTTCCTGACTTCAAGTGTGAAACAATTAACAGATCTATAGAGTGAACTGAGACAGCCATATATTCTTTTTGTGATGTAATCAATGTGAGGTTTAAAGGTAAGCTCAGAGTCAATCCACAGTCCAAGGTATTTAAATTTTTCCAATTTCACCATGGAGGACCCACCTTCAAAATAAAGTTGCAAGTTAAGAGCACAAGGTTGTCTGTGCCTTGTCCCAAACAACATACAACAGGACTTTTCCATAATCAACAATAATTTGTTATTGTGAAGCCATTTTTGAGTCATAATAAAGTCAGCTTGTGACCTGTTCAGTCAGCAGTGTAAATTATATTATCATCAGCATAAAGATGAACCTTACAGATGGAGCAAATATGCGACAAATCATTAATGAAAATCGAGAACAAAAGGGGTCCTAGAGGGGAACCTTGAGGAATCCCCTTATCAACCAATAAATAATCAGACAGTGAACCTTGAAAAGCAACACACTGCCGTCTATTGTGAAGATAAGAATTAAACCATAACAGGAGCACTTTGATTCAAACCTATTGCATAAAGCTTGTCAAGGAGAAGGTAATGATCCACCATATCAAAAGGAAAGGTTGATAAAAATAGCACCAGTTAGCTGTCCCTTATCGAAGGCGGAGAATTGGTGAACTTCAATAAAGCTGTGGTGGTTGAAAAATTTGGCCTAAAGCCAGATTGATATGGGGATAAAATGTTATTCTGAATAATGAATTCTGATAATTGATTAAAAATAATTTTCTCAAATATTTTGGCAGTGGTGCAGATAATAGAAATAGGGTGATAATTATTCATATTACAAGCATCACCAGTTTTGAAGAGAGGGGTAACTTTCGCACATTTCCATGTAGCGGGAACAGTGAAAGTAGTCAAAGACAGATTAAATAGGTCCGCAAGTGGAAATATCAATACATGAGCAGCAAGTTTACCTAGCACATCCGGACCAGCACTACTGTTGTCCTTTAGATCACCTATAGCATTAAACACATCAATGGGCATGATTTATTTTTAAATTTGAATGAGCCAGAGGTAAAATACAAGGTTGAGAAATGGTCATTAGCATAGGAATAAACATGTTTGGTATTACCAATAGCGGTAAAATGCTGATTGAAAGCATGAGCAATAAGGGGAGGATCAGAAATTGTAACATTATTAATTTTTAGTTGATTCACGGGAGTTTTGCTATTCCTATTGAGAACCCGATTCAAATGATTCCAGAACTGTCTAGGGTTATGAAAGTCATTAAGAAAGCAGTCTCTATTATAACTGGATTTAGCGTTTCGGGTTTATTTGCACTGATTCCTGAGAGATCTATAATGATCCCAGTCAGGGGCAGATTTAGTAAGGCAATATTTGGCCCATGCCTTATCTCTTTGCTTAAAAAGATTGATTAGATGAGAGCTGATCCAGGGTAAGTGCTTCCCTTTAACCATTTGTCCATGCATCGTCAACAAAAGGAATTAGCTGGAACCTGTCCCAATTAATAGTGTTTAAATTGAAATCTCCAAGAATAATCAATTCTTTATGCCTTCCTAATGAGTTAATTGTAGACAAAATGCACTTTGTGGAATCTGATGGGGCAGACGGAGGCCTATAAATATTGCCAATAATTAAATGTTTATTTACATGAAAGATAATATTTATAAAAAGACTTAAGTTAACTGGATCTACTTCAGGAGTAATACATTCAGAGATAAGATTTGCATCAACATGTGACCACCCCACCTCCTCCGGACAATCTATCAGCTCTGGACAGTACATAATCACTGATTTCAATATCACTATCAGAAATTGTATTACTTAGCCAGGTTTCTGAAATAGTAATAATGTTAGGTTTGTACTGAGCAACCCAGGCTCTAAGAAAATCAATTTTTGAGGCAAGGCTCCTGATATTAATGTGAACAACCTTTAGACCTTTAACAGATTCCATTGAAAATGAGAAGAAGAACATGTCAGGCTACCATACTGAGAAGTGTGGAAAGAGAGGGTGAAAAAAGCAATAGCAACAGACAAGAGCAAAAATATACAAAACTCAAAATCCACATAGATAAAAATGGCTAATCTTTTTACTTAATCATTAATCAATACATAATAGTTTTACAGTGAAGGCATCAGATAAATTAATGACTAGACAAATTATGAGTGAGGCATGTGACAAACACTATTCAATTCTGGAGTCCCAAACTAAAGACTCGCACTAGCTACTCATAAGCAGGGCAAAAAGACAAACCAGATCAGGCCTCAGACTAAAGCAACCAGCAATCAGCAGGGACAAAAAGCAATATTCAAGCAGAAAAGTCAAAAACATTAGAAGCCACAAGTGAAGAAGGTCCTTGAGCTGGTGTTGGTTGACCCAGGGGTCAGCAAATAGGTCAGCTTCAGCTGCCTTCACTCAACCCACACAGTTTTTTTTCTTTTTCTTTTAAACAGTCAAATCATCTTTGATGCACAGATGAAGTTGAAGTTGGTGGAGCTATGCTGAGAAAAGGTACTTTTTCAGATATTTTGACATCCACATGAGAAAAAAACTGAATTCCATTAGCTTCTTCATTTTCAGCGTGCACAGTAATGTGCTTGTCTCAACTGGAGAGTGAGGCAGATGAAAATCAAGCAGTTTGTACAGTCTTGGGAAGAGGTCTAATCAGGCACAATAAGTGAAAACACCTGTGTGGGTGGACTATGGGTATTTAGGACAATTAGCCAGCTCTAGAATGAAGGTTTATTCTTAATTTGATATATTTATTGTGGGAACACAAGCACTTTCTCACAAGAGAGCAATCAGGCAGGTTTATGATCCACCATATAGATATTAAGTAGCTGCTTTGCACCTGCCTCGAACTTCTACTCTCCCCACATTCAGGCCCAATCCCTGTGTTCACCCTTTGAGGTGCGTTGACGGGAAGTCTGTGAGGGCGGCTTAGGACTGTCCCACTGCCAAATTGTGCGAGGGCATTTTGAGCCCTTTATAGACCCTTTTCCTAAGTCCGCATTTCTGCAGACTTTGGCTGAGGGAACTGCCCACAGTTCATAGCGGTATGACCTGAAACATGGGGGTCACTAGGGGATGCCTGGAAGCGAGAGAAATATCACGGCAAATCCGTGTTATAAGAGAAGAAGAAAACCGTAAACAAACAAGCATCTACACCGACGCTGATGTTAACATTGTTGAAAGTTTTCTTAACTTAAGATGTTGCATAGAACACATGAAGTCAGAGGAAAACAATACAACCTTATTACATACTTAGTTTATTCAACTATTTACTTTAGTTTTTGCTTGATGATGCTATTTGACCAACAATAGTGTATTGATTAATTACAAATATATATTGACATTTAGGCTACCTCTCCTCCACTCTGTAGGGCAAGAGCCTGCAGGACTTAAAAATAAGGCAAAAATATAAAATAAAAAATGTGCAACGTGTTTCAGCATCGTCAAGGTAACGTGATAATGTGGCAAAGGGCTGTCCCATTCCCGTTTACAGTATTTTAAGCCATTGCAGCCTCTTGCACTCAAGCACTTTCCAAGTGACGTCAGTAAGGTCTGTGAGGGTTCAGGGCTTAGGGGTCCCCCCCTTGGGATTGGGCCTCAGACACACTCATACACACCTACACCTCTGGTCTCTCACTGCAAACACACCTGCCCCACCTCTCTATGTCTCTCTCTCTATCAGCAGTAGGCTATTATTTATAAAGTTGCTGAAAAGAGAGTTTTCCACCCGCGATCCGTTCCCATGGCAGCAGGTCTGCTACATGCTGGATTGTAAATGACGTAGCCCATCCAACAACCTGAAAACAACATCTGCACTCCGTGTTCATTGTTGCATTACCTGTCTCTCCACTCTCCACAAAAATCCACCATGTCCACGACTTGTAATGTAATAGCCGATACAGGGAACAGAGCAGAGGCTGCAGCAGGATAATAAATACTATGGTCTTTAGCCCCGGGGCCTATTTATGTAACAGGTTTGACAATGAAAATATGATTTATTGGTCAGCACTATTTGGCACCATATTGTACTTTGTTAATCACATTTAAAAGATTTGAAAAATGTCTTTCTCAAGTTTTCCTCAAGTATTGTGTTACAATGCTAGTTGTATGATGTGAAATGTTACAAATAGCATTGTCACATGCTAAAACTGACATATTAAATGTGTAATAAGAGTTTTAACTGTTTTACTAAATAAAGTCATTTGGCTTTTTGGTGGCGCTCCATCAAACCTAACTTGACATCGTTAACCAGTGGGGTGGCACTGTGGGATCATGTTCCTGTCACTGCAGCAGTGAACTCTTTGGGGGTTAGCCATCTGTGCCGCATGGATGGGATCTAAGATTAACAGAAGCAGTTGGTAACTCAATGTGAATTGGAGGAAGTACAAGTCTGTCCACTTTTCTCCAGAGCAAGAGTGGGCGTTAGCAGTGACGAGCCCTGCAGTGCAGGGAGCATTGGCTTCCCACTAATTGGAATAAAACATAAAACGTGCAAAAGCAGACTATAAGATATCATAATGTATACAGTCCTGGAATGGGATCTTCTGCCATGTCGAGAGACAGACTGAGGATGTACCCATTCCTACGGTCCTTCTGCTTGTTTTTTTTAATATTTCTGTCTCCACATTATATACCCTATTATGTTTACACAGACAAGTAAATTGTAGTTTGCAGCACATGTATATGGACAGGTGACAAATTAAAGGAAAACCTGAATAACTGAGTGGAGAAACAACAAATGCAGATGCTTCCATACAGGAAGAAGGGCTCGCTGAATGGTTTAATGAGAAGGAAAGTGATATAAATCATGTGCTATGACCTTCATAATCACTAGGGGCCTCATGTATAAAAGACTGCACAGATGGCGTACTCACTGAATTTGTAAGTAATTTGTAAAGTATGTATGCACAGAAATATCCACATGTATAAAATCAGGTGTACGGCAGGTCCTGCTCACCTTTCCTTTATACATCCCAGTCAACGTGAAATTGAGCGCACATGCACGAGCCACATGCCCCGCCTTGGCCCCTCCCATAAATTATTATGCAAAAGACCAGAAATACGCCAGCGTCACATTCTAAAGGTCCAAATAACAACGGCTAGTCCTGCTGCAAAACACGTGAAAAAGAAAAAGTGCAAGATCTAGGTGCTGAAGCCTGAAGTAGAGGCGACAATAAATATTTTATTAGATGATATGAACTCTTGGATCAGCAGCAAACGCAGAAGACAGAGGGCACAGAGACGTTTTATACATCCTCAACACAACTCTATGGGGAAAGCACGTAATTTTATTTTGACCGTAAACATCAACATATGATCACACTTTTATTGTGTATCAACAGACATTGTAAGGTTTTTCACTGACAGTTGCACAGAAATTGAAGTAGAAACTGTATTTTAAAACATTTGGTGAGTTTTGGCCTACTTTGGAGTTTACTGACAGCGCCAGAGAAAAGTCTGTGGATGGTCTGCACATTCTCTCGGCTCAAGAGTTTGCGCCACGGCCTGGACATTCTCACGTCATGTTTTTATACCCAGATCTCAACCCAACTAAAACACTTTGGGAGACTGTTTTACTGTTACACTTACTGGCCTTCACCGATCCTTGTTATTTTTTTACATTCACAGACTGGACTCACCCACAATCAGGCCAATTTCACAGTGATGATCATCGTAGCCACAGGTCATCATGGTTCCCACTGTGTCATTGACTACAGCCACAATGTCAAGGTCAAAGTCCTGCAAAGAGATTTAATTTAACACTATATATTAAAACCAGCACAGACTATGTTAAGTTTTGGAAGTTTGGTAATAAACATAGAACTGGTGATTTACAGATACAATTTGTTGGACTGTGGCAAAATATTAAGTTGCAAAAAATGGATCTGAATGATCTGAATGTCACTTCTCCCCTGAAGTGGATGTGACAACCAAGCTGCTTTCCACCTCCCTTTACATCGACGAAAGCTGTTGGTGACTATCAAGGTATGTTCAGACAGGCAATGAAGCAAATTTGCATCTAATAACATCTTTAAATTGACTTTGCATTCAATTGTACCACCTCTAAAATTCATTTTGCTTTTTGTCTGAACACACAGTCAGACAGGTCCAGCCGACACTCATAAAGGTAGCCCGAGCGCACAACAGAGCTGTCAAATGCAGACCTGACCAAGCTGCTGACAGCAAAGTCCCACAGCAGTCCCGAGTGCGTTCACAACTACAGCTTACTGAACAGACTGGCTGGACTTTCAGAGGTGCTGAGAAGTGTATTTTTCTTCTTGACATGTGGGATTTGAAAAGATGACTGATTTCAGTTGCTCCCCAATGAAATGCTTACGACAAGAAGTGAGTCAGTAGGGCCTGTGGTATGCCCTGCTGCTTGTCAGTGAGAGCTGCCAGAGCTGTTTTGACATAATTTTGCCAATTTCCCTTTAAGGTTCCATGTTATGCTTATTTCATACTTTTATTTTAGGTTTTTACTAGAACTTTCTTTCTTCTGATTGGCCGGAACTATTGGTCGGCAGGAACTAGCTGGCACAATTCTAAACATTATTTGCGGAGATAGGTCTGGCTATGCAAAATTAGGCCTCACTGATTACTGTTCAACAACACAACTTTCTAACTTTATTCAGTGATTTTGGTGGATTTCTGGATCAGATTTTATGGAGAAAATATTTTCAGGTTTTCCCGCTGATATCGCCCAGCTGCTCTCTCAATTTCCTGATGGATTACGTGTCATTAGCAGCTAGCGGTAACTGCAGTGTTAGCAACAAGTAAAGCTATTTGTCAATCAGGAGGATCCTTAAATCACAGAGGCAGCGCAGCCGGAGGACATCTCAGAGATTTTTAGGTCTGAAGTTTGCAAACATGTTCAAAAATCTTTTGTCCACTAACCCCTCTTTTTTTGATGGCTTTCCTCAGGAGGCTGACCACTTCCTTTCCCTCTACTCCGCTTGCCTTGAAACCTTTCGTCCAAGACAACAAAACACTCTGCAAAAAGGAAAATTAAGACAGAGAACAGAATACATTATCTACTGTTCATTTCAACCTTGTCATAATAATCACTTCAGTTCAGTTCAAATCAGTTTAGAGTAATAACTCAGACCTCGCCATTTAACAATCTGATTGAGTGACTCCACTATTTTAGAGAAAATAAATACAGCTTTTAGTGTCCAAATTTAGACACTATTTAAATATTGGATAACTCAAAAGCAGCACCTCAACCTTAACAAGCATTAAGCTTCTTTTGCTGCATGTCATTTAGTTTCCTTTTGTGTTCCTTTTTCCATCAGTTTGTGGAGGAAAGTTTATTGTGTTATGTTTTTTCTACATAGTGCTGAACAACTTCACCCAGTTAGGTTACTTACTGCCCCCGCAAACAAGAGACAGACAAGACATCTCATACTGTAAGGCAGGGGTTGGCAACCTGTGACACAAGTGTGAGTGTGGCTATACGAAGCCATTTTCAGTGGCACATGATAGAACATACTGTACTACAATATCGGCATGTGTTGTTACTTTGTTAAATACTAAGTGTTTCCCACAAGTAGACTTTACTTGGGAGGTAACTCCTGGCTTTTCAGTTCTTGAAAGCAATTCTGCAAGATTAAGTCCCGAGGTCTTAATGAGAAACTTATCTTAAACTTCTTACTGCCAGAAATCAGGGGCACGCCTCTAGAGCTGGGATGGAACAAACAGAGTTATGCAGTGTTTACCGGATGTCACTATTAATCGCGCTTTAAAACGTTAATTAATCGTAAAGGCTCCGCTCCACTGAGTGTTTTTGTTGCAACTTGCACAAAACGAAAACCAAGTTACACGAGTGGTGCACCAGCTTAAAGTGCCGTGCTTATCAGAGATATGGAGGCTACTACTGTACACTGCCTAAGGGACCAAACTGTGAAGCTTTATTTCCACCAAAGAAACGTCTGAAGTCGGCAGTGTGGGAGCATTTCAGGTACACCAAGGCCAGGGCGTTACTGAAGATAATGGATCCTGCCCAGGGTGCGAACTACGGGGGAGTCAGGGGGAGCTTAGCACTCGGTCGCTCCTCGATCTCCACCGCCCCTCTCCGGTACGGGTTGTGTTGCTAAGAACGATGAACGGTTTGTGATCGTTCTCTCTGGCTGGATGAATATTAAGCATAATCTGTGCACTACTGCAGCTGAGGGGTCTCGGCAGCGCCATGCAACTTTCTAAATTCTTCCCTCTCACGGAGAAAAGAAAGGTCAGGTCGTAAACACAGCCGCAGCTGTGGTGTGAAGCATAATTGTAGCAAAATGGCTGAATATGATAATAATAATAGCCTAATTATAATTATTATAATAAGACATACATGCCCGATTCTTTCACTGTCAGCCCCAGGCCTACATGCTTGCAGCTATTAATGATTCATCAGTAAGAATCACAGTCTGTAGTACTGTACTCTAGCCTTGTTCTTCTCTTAACAAATGTTGGGCTGATGTTCACAACTCTGTTGTCACTTTGTAGTATTAAAGGGCATAAAAGAGAGATCCTGTGTATGTCCTCATTGAAATAAGGATTTGTGTTGATCTGAGCATATATGAGGTGTAACTATATATTGTTATTGTGCATCACAGGTGATGTTACGCAGTAATCCAAAACTAATGTAACTAGTTACTTTCAGCAGTGGGTAATCTAGTAAAGTAAAGCATTACTTATTAAAAAGTAACTAGTAAAGTGTAATCCATTACACTTTTTGAGTAACTATCCCAACACCGGTGAGTTGTGATGTAAGAGTTGATGGGACTTATAGGAGAGCATATTACCCAGTTAAGCCCCTGCACGGTACCAGCTCGACTCAACTCTGGTTTTCCATTGTGGAAAAGTTGTACCTGTACCTGCTAACAGGTAAATTTTGTTGTATCACCTCTGTCGAGGTTCCAAGTGAGCTGAGGAGATACTAAAATTTGATGTGAAAACACAGCAGACTCGTGATTGGTCAGAGAGAATTGTCACTATTCACTGCATCATCATTGCCCACGCCTGACAGCAGCAGAAAGTTTTATATTTTACAATTTACATATATTATTTCATCACTAAATCCACTTCTGAGAAGTTTTGAGGTGAGAAATCAGCTGTGTAGATTTCGAATATTGACACTTTTATGAAAAGCTCACCCCTTCAGTCATAATGTAAGTGACATACTGTTATGTAGCTACAGGTGTACTCCCATTACTGGCGAATTGATAATCACGTCACCATTTTGTTTTATACCTTTATAAAAACACAAGTAAGGAGGATTATTTATAGGATCTTACGTTCTATACCTGATTTCTGTTAACTCGCATGTGTAATGCTTAATAACACAACCAACGAGTCTCTAGGTCAGGGGTCGGCAATAAGTCTGGCATCGGGCCAAATTTTTTTAAGATGTTACATGGTGGGCCAGAACATAGTAAAAATTTTTCCGACCCTAAGATACTCGTGTCCCTGTTTAGTTCGGTCGGTGGTGTGCGGGACCCCCGTTGGGCGGGTTGGATGATTGATCCCAACATAAGGCAAATTGTTTTTTTCTCCCAAATTGATTATAAGGACACTTCCGGACATGCTCATGATAAAGCATGTGCTGCAGTGTGTGCGTCACGGCATTTGATCCGCATTCATGAACCTATGGACGCTTATTTTCTTTTCCATGAGGATACTCATATTATCATCATACGTTTACTGCCGGCTTTTTCAGAGGTGTTCTAAGCAGGCCAGAGTCTTTTCTGAATGTCCTTCAGAACTTTTCAAAGTAAAAGCTCTCAATAAACTCGACATAAAGCATTACTGCAAAAAAACGTTTACGTGCTTCATTTTGGAGGCACAATCTCTTAAGAGGAAATGATTATGTGAGTAACTGTTCTGTCATGACTGAGATCTCTTTCAGCACCAGCCGCTGTCAGTTTATAATTTTTTTTATTATTCTGCTATCTGCTATTCTGCGGGCCAGATATTATTCCTGGTGGGCCATTTCTGGAGAAAGCTGATAAAATAACATCTAAATCACTCACCTCATCCAACTTGGTCTGCTGACAGGGAAAGGAGAAGGTGAAGCCCAGAGGAAGCTTTTTATCCTTTATCCCCAACTTCTCCAGGAAATTAGCCAGACAATCAGCTATGTGTTCAAATAACTGCAGGCGAGAGAAAAGGTCAGTTTCTTATTAATCAAGGTTTAATTTTCAGGACTGACTGTGTGTGTGTGTGTGTGTGTGTGTGTGTGTGTGGGCGCACGCGCGCGACTGTCTATGCAGAGATGCTGCAGTTATCATTAATGCTACTATTATGATTATTATTAGTAGCAGTAGCATTTGTAGTAGAACTATGGTTCTTTTCTTTGCCACAAATAAAACAAGTCAATGACAACTTCCTCAATTACCTGTGCATGAATCCTGCAGTTAGAAAAGGATGGTTCATACAATAAATGTTACAAAATAAGAGTTTGATGGATGTTTCTTGCAGTAACTAAAACATAATCTCTTAATTTACTGCTGTTTAGGATATAATATTACCCCAAGCCTGCAAAACAAAACCTGACTTTAAAACGGGAGTTTGTTGCCTGTTTGTACAATAACTATATATCATAGCTTATACAGGTGTTTTTGCATTTACTACAATATCAACAAACCCTCCCAACCAATCCCTGTTTGTTTAGTTCAGCAGCTTTACAGGAAATAAAAAATAAATTAACTTGATATTAAAAGGACATTCAACTGGTTAATTATGGTGGCATTCTAATTTTCAATGTTGTCTATGGTTTGTGGGGGAGTTGGAGTTCTGAAATGAATTACAGAAATGTTAATGTTGATCCATACTGCTCTCTCCCTTTCTCTCACACGACTTGGCACAAGCTCAGCCTACCGCTGTGCTTTTCTACAGAAGCAGATTTTTTTCACTATTTGGTGAGCCTGTGGAAATGCATTTGGTTGGGGGTGATAATCAAGAGGAACACACTTTAGATTTTGTCAGTGTGAAGCTGCAGGTAGACTCAGGGTTGCTGTTGCTGTGGGCATTCTAGCACCTTTCACATTTGTCTGTTACAAGTTTATAGTTGTATTGCCTTGAGAGGGGTGTGTGTGTGTGTGTGTGTGTGTGTGTGTGTGTGTGTGTGTGTGTGTGTGTGTGCCACTCAGCTCTGTCTGCTATCTACTCTTACGTACTGCTGGGAAATGACATTTCAGGTCGTCGATGGCTAACTAGGCTGAAAAATTGATTAATGTATTGTTAATCAACACTGCTTCTTGGTTAAGTTAATTAGTCAATGCATTCTGACATAAACACAAGGCATTCTTCCTCCTGACAGTGCACTGTGAAGGGAGCTCTGGTAGCCGGATCCATTTTTCCATCCGACGCTCTTATTGAACCTTTGATCTGTCCTCTTTATTTTTTACGAGCAGAGACCAATGTTGAAAACATGCAGGTAGCGTTACCAGGCTTCTCATTTATAGTCCACCAACGTCACCTGTGGTAGCTAATTAATGTTAATTTCATAACAGCTACACTGAAAATTCTGACAATTGATTAATGTGTTTTCTCCAAATGATTTACGGTAACTTTATTAATGTCATCCAACAGCAGGTGATCACAGATCTAAACTGAATATCTGAGGTGTTGTTATTTATAACTTTAGTTTCATGCAGTAAATGATGAAAATTGAGACTTGATAATGGATTTGATAAGTGGACATGACTCACACATATGTATAATGATACTAATACAGACTGTGCAGAACTTTAACCAGAACCAAGAGGTATGATCACATCATACCTGTTTTAGCCTCTTTACATTTGTTCCCTGTTTGTTTTAGGATTGATTTGAAGATTATATTGATTACTTTTAAGGATCTCTGTAACCTGCCTCCAGATTATATTTTTGATCCTTTAATTCCTTATGAACCATCTTAGGTCTCTTCCTGAATCCAGTTTGAAAACTGAAGGGGACAGAGCTTTTGCCATCAGGGCCACAAGGCTTTGGAACAACCTGCCTGAGGAAATTAGGCTGTCAGAGTCATTGTCTTCTTTTAAGTCTCTTCTAAAAACACATTTTTTTGTAAAGCATCATGTTTTTATGCGAGCTGCAAGTGTTGTTTTGTTTTTTCTTTTCTTTCTATCCTGGGTAATTTAATGTTATCTTTTATTGTTTTTACTTAATTTATTCTGCCATTCATGCATTTTATCATTCAATTTTCATGTCACCTCTCTTTCTGTGTGAAGCACTTTGTACTTTGTTTTGATAAGTGCTCTAAAAAACTTTTTTTAATTACTATTATATTAAGCTGGTGCGCATGATAGTACAGCACAAGATACAAACAAGAAGGGGACTTCAAATCCATTAGCAGTCAAAACCCCCCACAGGGTACCTTAGAATCAAAACAATCGAAACACTTATTTATTCACCATTCTCTACTTCAGTGCTGTTCATAGTTATATTGTCATATTGTAGATAATGTATACCAAATCCACCTACCTCAAGTCATTTCTCCTGCACAAAATACTTCTACTTATTTATTCCAGCATTCCTTTGCACTGTGCTTCATTGCACTGTGTACATGTATGCATGTATATGTACCTGTATATCACATCCATCTTCGACATGTACATTCTCCTGCATCCTTTGCACTCTGCTCACTGCACTATTTGTCAATATGTCTATATTGTTTTTGATGAATTAAGCTGTTCTGGAGGCTCATGGATACTGAGACACTTCGTGTTGCTTTTTCCTTTCATCTGTCACCCATCTGTGTGAGCTATAGATGCTTAGCAAATAATCATTTTGCATTGATACTCAGTATCACTCGATGTTCAGATACTCATACATCAGACTGAGGGTATATGTGGTCTCAACATTTGGTTTTGTAGTTCATCTACATTGCTCTTGTGAATTTGTCTGCTTGTATATTCATACATGCACAGCCCAACTAAGCTTTAACTCTCTGACAAGAAAGCGCCCACAATGCTGTGTGTAATGCCTCTTACCTCAGAGCCGCTGCCTCTCATGAGGTGATCAGGAATGGAATAAATCTGATCTTCCATCTCCACCTCTCGCTTGCCACTAGCCATGACTCTGACCAGGAGAACTCGGAAGTTGGATCCACCAAGGTCGAGGGCCAGGAATTCACCTTGCTCTTTGGACAAACAAATACATAAATATATATATATATTTTTTTTTTCCCCAACACCATTTCCAAGAGCCCATGGTATAGTCTTCAAAATTCTCCTTTTTTTTCTGGCCAACACTGCAAAACCTAAACATATTCAATTTCTAATGATATAAAACAAAGGTCAGCATAAAAGTATATGGCATTTTCGCTGGAAAAACGGACTCAAATGATGAATTAATTATCAAAATAGTTGACAATACAAAAACAAATAATTGAGTAATTATTCCAGCTTTAATCAGAAGCGTGCTTGTGCTCGTGTGTACTCTTGTGTGTGTGAAAGTAGAGCACAAGAAACAAACAAGAAGAGAACTTCTTTATCAAATCCATTAGTGAAGCCCACAGGATACTTTAGAATCATTAAATAATATACTCACAGCGGGAACACATTATGAGAACGCTATGAGAAACCGAGAGGCTATTAAAGGAAATTAATGTGAACCCACAATCAGCACTTTACAGGGTTTTTTTTAGTTGTGAACATGCTAATTAGGCCTGTGTAGAGTACAATTTCTCAATGCATTCATTTCATACATTTTCAAGCCAAGACCTACCATCTGCCTCTAATGGGAATTTCACTGCTCTGTATAAAGCCTTAAACCATATCGCACCTCTGTCCTCACCTCACCCACTGACGTCATGATAAGTTTTTGCCAAAAGCTGGGTGATCAGAAAGTCACAAAAAGAGTGAATCACCAGAAAGAATAATTTTGCAGCACAGAACTGCTGCTGCGCTGCTCTGTATGAGGTTGCATGTTGCACTTGTGGCAAAACCCTAATTGACCTTTTTCTTTGGTACTGTATTTTGACTGGACAGTTCCCAGTTTGTCCATCTACATACAGTGAGGAAAATAAGTATTTGAACACCTGTCTATCAGCTAGAATTCTGACTCTCAAAGACCTGTTAGTCTGCCTTCAAAATGTCCCCCTCCACTCCATTTATTATCCTAAATTAGATGCACCTGTTTGAGGTCGTTAGCTGCATAAAGACACCTGTCCACCCCATACAATCAGTAAGAATCCAACTACTAACATGGCCAAGACCAAAGAGCTGTCCAAAGACACTAGAGACAAAATTGTACACCTCCACAAGGCTGGAAAGGGCTACGGGGAAATTGCCAAGCAGCTTGGTGAAAAAAGGTCCACTGTTGGAGCAATCATTAGAAAATGGAAGAAGCTAAACATGACTGTCAATCTCCCTCGGACTGGGGCTCCATGCAAGATCTCATCTCGTGGGGTCTCAATGATCCTAAGAAAGGTGAGAAATCAGCCCAGAACTACACGGGAGGAGCTGGTCAATGACCTGAAAAGAGCCGGGACCACCGTTTCCAAGGTTACTGTTGGTAATACACTAAGACGTCATGGTTTGAAATCACGTATGGCACGGAAGGTTCCCCTGCTTAAACCAGCACATGTCAAGGCCCGTCTTCAGTTTGCCAATGACCATTTGGCAGAGGAGTCATGGGAGAAAGTCATGTGGTCAGATGAGACCAAAATAGAACTTTTTGGTCATAATTCCACTAACCGTGTTTGGAGGAAGAAGAATGATGAGTACCATCCCAAGAACACCATCCCTACTGTGAAGCATGGGGGTGGTAGCATCATGCTTTGGGGGTGTTTTTCTGCACATGGGACAGGGTGACTGCACTGTATTAAGGAGAGGATGACCGGGGCCATGTATTGCGAGATTTTGGGGAACAACCTCCTTCCCTCAGTTAGAGCATTGAAGATGGGTCGAGGCCGGGTCTTCCAACATGACAATGACCCGAAGCACACAGCCAGGATAACCAAGGAGTGGCTCTGTAAGAAGCATATCAAGGTTCTGGCGTGGCCTAGCCAGTCTCCAGACCTAAACCCAATAGAGAATCTTTGGAGGGAGCTCAAACTCTGTGTTTCTCAGCGACAGCCCAGAAACCTGACTGATCTAGAGAAGATCTGTGTGGAGGAGTGGGCCAAAATCCCTCCTACAGTGTGTGCAAACCTGGTGAAAAACTACAGGAAACATTTGACCTCTGTAATTGCAAACAAAGGCTACTGTACCAAATATTTACATTGATTTTCTCAGGTGTTCAAATACTTATTTGCAGCTGTATCATACAAATAAATAGTTAAAAAATCATACATTGTGATTTCTGGATTATTTTTTTTAGATTATGTCTCTCACAGTGGACATGCACCTACGATGACAATTTCAGACCCCTCCATGATTTCTAAGTGGGAGAACTTGCAAAATAGCAGGGTGTTCAAATACTTATTTTCCTCACTGTAGCTAGATAACACTGGAGAAAAGATGTTGACCCTTTAACTTTATTTGAAATAATGGGTATCACCTGTTCCATCAGGAGTGGAGCGCACAAATGTGGGCAGCATCCTGACAGCAGCTGTGGGGTTGGTGTCTCTGCACAGGCCTTTGTCCATCTCTCGTCGAAATCTTATTGACACATCCATCAAAGTCACATCTGACAGCTGAAGGTGGTTCAGGTATTTGTCCACCTAAACCATTTTGGAGAGGAGAAATTTTCATATTGGAAATAACAAGTCGTATATGGTAATAATGGTATAAGTACAGCAATGACTAAATAAATAAAATAGTTAATGTATTGTCATTAAAATGAACGGATTAATAAATTACATTAAGATTAGACAGCTCTGAATTGACCAAACATAATATTTATATAATTTAGTGTATAGTGTCCTACTAAGTTGTGTGTGAAGAGCAACACAAGCATGTTAAAAAGGCCCGCACCGGCTATTAGGGTCCAAAATTAACAGCCACCAAGCTTCAAATGTGGGTAAAATTTGGATTTGGTGGAAGAATAAATTGGGGTGTAATCACAGCCTAGCGCCACGTTTAAATTGCTATGTTTTTTCCCGGCTGAGACTCATGTGAATCTCACTTTCCATCAAACCTATTTTGACATCAGCGAATCAAGTCAAAGCAGCCTAATTCTCTAATCGTAACTCCAATTATGTCAGCGGCTAACTGTAGCCTGTAACATTAACATGCCAAGAGGCTACGGCTACATATGGACACTCCCCCACTGAGGCGCGCGCACACACACACACACACACAAAAGAGCCGCTCTTAGCCGCAAGCTCAGCTACAGCACAGTACATTTTTTGTTTAACTGTCTGTGGCAGACAAGCCAAAAGGTAATTTTGGACCTTACCTGCACTGAACAAAATTTTTGTTTGCTCAAGAGTAGTTCTGCTTGACTTTCTGACGGACCACTGTTTGGCCTCAAGTGTTGACCATAAAGGAGAGTTCAAACCACAATTAATCATCAAGTTTTTTCAACTTTCATTCAGAAGCAAAAATCAGCCTTTAAACTCGAAATAAATAACGATTTGATATTTATTGTGATAATTATCAATATCAAAAGATATGAAACTTTTTATCGCGATTACATTTTTGGCCATATCATCCAGCCGTATTCTTAATATTTATGTCTCTAAAAGATGTAAAAGGAAGAAACCTTTCACAGAAATGTTTTAAGAATTGATTTAAAACAAGATACAAATTCAGCTTTCCTACTGCCTTGGTCTCAAGGTCTTACCATGTATCTATGCAACACATTTAACAAATACCTTGTGTACTAAAGAACAGAAGGATCTGGCTCACAAGTATAGTCTGTACACTACAGTCAGAAACCAGAGATAGTAAGGTTAGTTGAGGCAGAAGCAGGCTGACAAAATAGGGTGAGATGGCCTTTTTCTGGATGAGACTACAAAACAAGATTTCCCCCATCCGATGTTGATGACATTCAAAAAAGTCACTCTACTACTGACTGACACATCAAGTATCTAGGGGTACAGAGCGAGTACAACAAAACAAAATATGGGCCTCTGTGCAAATCAAGGTCAGCATGTTATCTCTCTAGATTACCTTATTTCACACTTGACAACACAGGTATACTGTGCACAGCAGCATGACACAGAAGCCATATATGTGTTCTTGACTGACCCTGTACGGTTTCCTTGCATGAAATGTGTACTTAAATGGCTAGCTCAAGGGGATTTTCAGAGACCATTTGTTTATTCCTGTGTGTTTACTTACTGAGTAATACTTACATACTGAGTGCAGGTAAGCACCCACACAGCAAGCAGTGGTTCTTAAATGGGACCATTTATGCTCATTTCCAGCAGTTTATTTCCACTGTGCTTCCACTTCAGTCCACAGTTCAAAAATCCTTATTTATCTTCTAAAGGCCCTTTATGCAGCCCCCAGGTTTATCCTCTCTCTTAATGCTGCATTCCACTTACCTCGGCAGTCAGAGCTGGGAATGACATCACACCCAAGTTGGCCGCTTTCCAGTACATGATGAATGCCTCTAGCCGCTGTTAGCAAGTGTTTTCAGTCTTGAACGAAGTATGACTAGCAGGACTTTACTCTGGAGCAAGATTATTCAACTCCTTATAGATGAGGAGCATGATCTTGAATTGAATCCTAAATTTAATTGGAGGCCAGTGCAGTGACATCAGAATCGGGGTGATGCGATGTGTGTAATATGAGGTCTTAGCTCATTTTTTGAAACCTCTTTAGTATAAAGGTCATTATACGAAAACATGCCATTTTACATTTTTAATGTTTGATTTTCAAAGTACTGTTTTCAAAGTATTTAAGTCCCGTTTGGGATGAAGTAGATCCTTAGCTCTAAGAAAAATATGCCGTGCCATCTCAGGCTAACTTGTTTTTTTTTATTTTTGTCACATAATCAACTTGCATATATGTGTTTCGTCAACCCTGTTACCAATATATCAGTTACTGTTTGAAAAGGTCTTAAATCCATATTTAGAACAAATATGATAAGTCACCACTTGTTACAATAAGAGTGTTTGTAAAGTGGGGATATTGACTAGTTTACTTATATCTATGGATGAATACATTCATTTACAATTAATACTGTCACAACATATTCTGTTTTAAAACTAAGTAATAGTATCACAGTTTCTTTGAGTGTATTACTGGTCTCTTATACTTAACTTGTACCATTAGTTGAATTCACAATTTTATTTTCATTTTTCAAATTATTATGTATTATCATTTAATTATTATGTATTATTACAATATTATACAAGTAACAGGGCTGACACATCAGTAACAGGGTTGACAGTTATACTGCTTGTTTAAGTTACAGTCATGGGTGTAATGGAGTTATAATGGGACATTCTTAAACTTTTAATTCAAAATAACTAATTAGTATTACTGTAGAGTATTTTGGACACAGATTTGTTGAGAGGTTTTAGCATAAAAGATGATACAACTTTATGATGATGCTACAGATTTAACTGTATATCAATTGTTTAATTCAAACATATTAAAATTACACTGCAAATAAATGTAAAAAATTAAATAGTTGGGCCTGTGGGTACATAAAGATATACTTTTCTTAGCCGAGAAGGGTTGAATCAAGGGCAACTGGACTTGGTTAAATATTTTTCACCTCTCATCCAAGCGGCGTCTTCGGTTCTAAATGACTGGTGGGGAGTTTCATGTATTTTACCTCTATGGGGTCATGATCAAAGTCATTGATACCAGTTAGTGGTTGGTGATCCTTGCTATTGTAACAACGGTCGTTAGGGTCCGTGTTATCAACAGAGACCAAGTGTAAACAACAGTCTTTGGAATTTCTACAAGAGGCCAAATGTGCTAATTATTCCATCTTCTAGGAACATATAAAAAGACAGCATTATAAATGGGGGATAAGTGGTGTCATACATCCTCCTCTGTTGAGAGATGGTTTCCCTATGCTGGTGTAAATAGCCTCCTTCACTCCTCTTTTAAACCATCTGTCTTCCCCATCCAAATACAGTAATGGAATCACAATGTTGTTGCATTTTCCTCCTTGTCTTTACCTCTCGTGTGAAAGATGAGGATATCAAGAACAACAACATGGCAGTGTGGCATACACATTGGAGTATACAGGAAACCCACACACACAGACCAGTACTTACTTAAAACTATCACCACCCACCAGAGTACAAGCAAGGAATTGTCAAAACTCTGCACCACCAAGTTGATAATGTACCAACAAGTGCCCAGGCCCTAAGAGAAGGAGTACAAAAAACTGAAGGATGAACTTAATTGTGGATAATCTAACTGGACCCTTGTGAAAACAACCACAAGATCCAGGAAGAACTCTAATACTGTGTTTGTTGAAGAAACGAGGAAGAAAATGCTTCATCGTCATTCCATACATGTCAGGAGTGTCAGAGAAACTCAAGAGGATTTTCAACAAACACCAACCCAGCCACACACTAAGATATAAACTGGTCCACCTGAAAGACCCCACCCCCAAACACAAGAACAGCAACATAGTGTATGCTGTCCAATGCAGTGAGGAATGCACACATTTGTATATCGGGGAAAGCAAACAACCATTAATCAAACGTATGGCTAGGCAGGAAGGGTAACCCCTCAGTTTAAGCAGTTTACCTAAATCTGGGGAATAAGGGACACTCTTTTGAAGACAACAACATACATATTTTGGATAGAGAGGACTGATAGTTTGAAAGAAGAGTGAAGGAGGCTATCTACTTCAAAGTAGAGAAACCATCTCTCAAGAAAGGAGGATATCTACCAAAGTTATCCCCTACTGTCCTAATGCTGTCCTTCACCTCTTTCCCAGGAGAATGAAAATTCCAAAGACTAACTACCTTTGTTATAATAGCCAGCAGCACCAATCACCAATTGGTATTAATGACTTTGATCATGGCCCCACAGAGGTAAAATACCTGGGACTCCCCACCAGTATTAGAAGTGAAGAAGCCACTTGGATTCGAGGTGAAACATCTTCAACCAAGTCCAGTTTCCCTCGATTAATACTTTTTGGGTAAGAAAAGTATATTTTCATGTACAGTGTGATGAAAATCATATGTTAGACTCACTGATATTATAAATTCCAGGACACACACAAAAGCATGTACCTTCGTCAACCCTGTTACCACTGAAATGGTAACAGGGTTGACGAAAAGCTTTATTGCCAGTCACTACTAGCCTTGTGGTAAATGTCATGACACGACATGGTGATCATTCATGAGAGGTTTAAATGTTATGTTATATGTACAATTAAAATTTATAACAATTAACTTTTTAGCATATGTTTATGTGGTAACAGGTTTGACACACTGAGCTCGTCCCCCTCAGTGAGACATTACGTAACTCAACAAAAATCCAGTAAAGGAGGTGACAATTACTTGACTTTTACCATTAACTTCATAAAAAAGCAAGTGATGTCACTTTCTGGAAATTATGCAACTTTTGGAACAGTCCATCAGCTTTGAAGGGGTGTTTTGATTAAAAGTAACAGGGTTGACAACAACATGGGGACCTGACTAAATTGTTGTTTTTTGCAATATTTTACACAAGAATAAAACCCCTTCACGAGTAATGAAACAACACTTGAGGCTTTATATAGGTTTAAGTTTTTGTATGACAGTTTGACTTTTTTGGCCTCAATAGCAAGTAGAAGTAGAAAAATTATACTGAGGGACAGGCCATTTTCAACATTTCCACAAGATGCTTTGCACAAAAAAGTAATTAAAATCTTGACTAAAAACAAAAGAAACAAAATGTAATTTATTCTTATATTATGGAAACTAAATTATAAAATATTTTATTTGTTTTATGGTTTATTAAGATTTAAAAAGATTTTTTCTGAGGGACTTAAAATGGCACGTTTTCGTATAATGACCCATAAATATCTGACATTGTAACATATATACACACACACATATACGTGTTTGTGTCCCAGTAACTGTGCCAGTGAATCAGCATGAGCAATACCAGGACCATAAAATAAAAGCAACTAAATTGACACTTGTCACAAAGGCTTATTGTTTTCATAGACATGCAGCTAGAAGAGCATTATACACTGAAATTACGCCTACGTTACACATACAACGAACATACTGTATGAAATGAGCCACACAATGTTATATTTTCACACAGTGCTGTTCGATTCCTTGGGGCATTTCTTGTCTGGGCAAAAGAGTGATTGTTGGGGCGGAAATGCAGACATCTAACGTTAGACTGCGCGAGAAGTGACAGTCGAGACATCACTGCGTTCATACATGCTAGGAGTAGGGTTACCTTCCTGACCCCTCTTTTCACACACACATTAAACACATTACACATTAAAATGTCCCGTCATTGTAGACCAAAACGTCCCCAAAACAAACCCAGTCGAGTGTTTTACAACACCAGTACTCACTTTATGCGCTTGGTCATCATGGAGTTCGGTGCAGTAATTAGCCAGCAGACTCGAGGCTAACATCTTCAGTAAGTAACGTGTGGAGACTTTACGTCCGGCTGCTTTAGATTTACAGAAAGTTTGTATATACAAAGACAGATTCTTTAAATAAAAAAAATATAGAAACCAAGAATTATGTCACCCGCTGCTCCAAAACTCCTGTATTAAAACTGCAGTAAAAACGGAGTCATAGTAAGAAACTTCCAGCTTCCTGGAGTTGGTAGTTCGGTGACGTCGTCCCGAATGAATGGCGCTGATTGGCTGCGGTGAAGGCGCGGGGGTGATCCCCGTTTTCCTATTACATTGTAATGTGGATACACAAGGGGTGGACAAATTAATAGCACTACAGCATTGCAGCATTAGCAGTTTCTTGTTCATAATTTGTCATGAAAGTGTTGATTTAACTTAAAGTGTTCAGGCGCCTTTTACAGCTGTAGTTTGAAGTTATGCACCCCAGTTAACTACAACATACAAACAGTTTATTAATTGTTTAAAATGATCTCCACCTCGACCAGCTCCCTAAAATGTTACTTGCATGTAAATTCACCAGTAACCTAATAATAATTCCATAATATGATATAATAATATACCAGGCAGATGGCCGCCCACCCTGAGCCATGGTTCTGCTCGAGGTTTCTGCCTCTTAAAAGGAAGTTTTTCCTTGCCTCTGTCGCCTAGTGCTTGCTCTTGGTGGGAACTGTTGGGCTTCTGTAAATAGCATCATAGAGTACGGTCTAGACCTGCTCTTTTATGAAAAGCGCTGTGAGATAACTGTTGTTGTGATTTGGCGCTATATAAATAAAATTGAATTGAATTGAATTAATATAACACTATGAAAGTGACTGCAGCTGTCTTGATAGGTTTTGTTACTTTTCATACTTTAATATACATTTTATTGATAATACTTTTTTTTTTTTATGCAGAATTTGTTTGTAATAGAGTATATTTGCATTGTGTTATTGCTGCTGCTGCTTGAAAGATTTTAATACCGGTTTGCAACATTATATTTTAAGGTGTTCCTGTCCCAGTATGTCACACATGGATGCCGTCTGTTTTAATAACTTGGTCGACTTGATGCCAAAGAATGAGGAGATATGAGAGGAAGAAGAGGCGATATAGAAACTACACCTAAAAGCTGCCATACTGTGTATGTCGCTTTCAATGGTTCAATTATAAACAAAAAATACTTTTCAAAGCTAAACCTGACAATGGAACAGGACACCCCTTGTGGTGAAATAAGCAGTGATCCACATATCAGATGAATAACTATTTATAGCCTGAGCTTCAAAGTTATGTTTCTTCACGGGGGGTGGCAGTACGCTAAAAGAAAAGATAGCTGGTATGTGATGAGGCTTCCTGAGTGAAATGCATACATCAAATGGAATGTATCACAGACACGGCATTGAACTGAAAAGCATTTTGTTAATTTCATGTTCTCCTCTTGTGCAAATGCTCACAAATATATTCTCAATTGAACTCTAATTTTTTATACCCTATTTATAGTGTAGTTTGTGTTACATACATACATTTACCAACAACAACAGCAATAGCCTTAACAAGAACAGATGCCTCACATCTTTAATTAGCATTCATTACTGTAACTGTTATTATCGTCATGCAACACTGTCAGTGATTAAAAACAAGTTTCATGCTGAAAATATGTGAAATACAGTTTGTGCAAGAAGAAAAGGTGCCGGGAAACAGGACAGGCACCGCAAGATCGTCACAGGATGCTGAGGTGCACCCTGTGGTGACCTTGCATCATTAGTGATCTAACCTGGGGTCATTGGGTGTTTTGGTTCTTTCAACATCAGACACTCTCACTCAGGCAATTCAGCCAGGGAGGATCAGACCCTCAGACTTGTGTCCCAGGAGCACTATCACACATCTGAGTCCTTCTGATTCATATTTAGATTCTCTTTCAGCACCTTCTGATGAGGTATTGATGGTTCTCCTCTTTGACACCCTGTGATGGCCCAGAAGTATGAATAGTCTGCAGAGGGAGAAGCCAGCAGAGCCTCTAGATCTCACTTCTATGGCTATGCAGTGACCTTTCTCCATTCCTTTATAGAGACATTGCTCTACCAGTTCCTGATACATAGGTCTGTTTCCATCATGTGCCTCTTCGATCTGATCCTCTCAGGGCACAGTCAGCTTAAAGACGTATGCTTGCTTAAAGGCTTCTGACAGTGGAAGGATCTTTTATAACTAAACCTGTAGACATTGCAAACTATTTTAATATTTACTTCATTGATAAAGTTTGTAAACTAAGGCAGAAAATGCCAACATCACACAGTGAGTCAACTTATTCATGCATATCAGATTAAATAATGGATGATAAGAACTGTTCATTTAAATTTTGTGAAGTGACAAGAGAAGAAGTAAAACAACTATTATTGTCTATTAATAATGACAAACCACCTGGTACGGACAACCAGGATGGAAAGCTATTGAGGATGGTAGCAGACTATATTGCCACTCCCATATGTTAATCTCAGTCTTAAAAGGAATATGTGCCCACAAATGTGGAAAGAAGCGAAGGTAATCCCGTTAGCGAAAAATTCTCGTGCTGTCTTTTCTGGCTCTAACAGTCACTAATCAGCTTGTTACCTGCTATAAGTAAACTTTTAGAAAAAAAATTATTTAACCAGATACAAGGTTATTTCACTATGAACAAATTGTTAAGCAAATACCAGCATGCTTATAGAGAAGGACATTCAACCTGTATAGCTATTACACAAATGGCAGATGATTGGTTAAAATACATTGATCAACAAAATATTGTCGGAGCAGTATTATTAGAATTTAGTGCCGCCTTTGACATTATTGACCATAGTTTGCTACTAATGTTATGGTTTTACAACATCTGCATTAGCATGGGTAGAGAGCTACTTAACAGATAGAACACAGAAGGTGTATATCAATGGAAGCTTCTCAAAGGTAAGGTTTGTAGCATGTGGGATCCCACAAGTGTCACCACTATGACCATTGCTTTTCTCTATCTTTACGAATGATCTCCTACTGCTCTGTAAAAGAGCTGCTGTGTCTATGTATGCAGATGATGTAACACTTTATATGCCTGTACCTGCTTTAGAAAAAAATACTGCTGCTCTCAACAACGAGTTGCAGATGGTATTTAACTGGATTACAGATAATAAACTTGTACTGAATATAGCCAAGAGCAAAAGCATCTTATTTGGAACTAAACGTTCATTAAAAAACAAGGCCCATGTTGGATTTAGTACTAAACAATTTTGCTGTTGAGCAGGTACAGGAAACAAAGCTTCTTGGGCTAACCTTTTTGGATTTTCTTAAGAAATTAGCATAGAATCTAGTCTACATTGGCGAGAACTCTCACTCCCTCCTTGGTGTTTGCTTGTTGCATTGGCAGGACTAGTAAAAAAAGCAGAATGACATCACACTTTGTAGTTTCATAGAGTGATATTGTACTAAATAAGGTGATGAAAGTGAAACATACTAGAAAAATTACTTACATTGCTTCTGTGTTTCTATTGCTCGGTCAAAGTTGAACATGGGTGAACCATAACCTGCAAATGGCCCAGAGCAGGCTGGATATTCAAGCAAGACAGGAAATGCACCCTTGAATTCGTCTGCTTTGCAGGTTTCCAAATAAGTAAATATTTGTTGGACAGAGGTGTAATGTGACCATTCCTTAAGTTCCTCAAACTGGGTACCTCACTCTTGCCCCATGCTTGGTGGTTGGATAGACTGGACAGGCTTATTGTACACAGACTAAATTATGAACTTGATGTACTGGGGTTCTGTCTGCAAGATGCCGGTAGGCCTACATGAAGATAGAACATCAAGCTCATGATGCAGAGAATTAGCAGAAATTGAAAATGTATTCAGTTAAAGTCACTGAGATGTGAGAACATGCAGAACTTGTCATTTGTAAGTGAAAAAAAGCAATTGAGCAGAGTTATTGTCTTGTGTTTGTGCTAGAAAAAAATATGTCTGAGAAAATATTCTACAGGTGTGTTGGAACGGGTGTGTGAATGTGTTTTGTACCATATTCACTGCAGCAACTGTAGCAAAAATGTGAGCATATGAGTTTCATAATTTGTGTTTGTAGAATAGGATTTGTGCACCTGCAGTGAAGAATCTGACAAGGTCTAACTGTTATGTTTGTGAGAGAGAGAAAACAATTTAACAAGTTTGCAAATCCTAAAGCATTTTTCTCTGTGGCTTCAAATTTACTGATACACCTTGAATATTTTCTACAGCCCCCAATTCCAATGACACAGGTGCTCAGTTGTTTTGCTCCAATAATATCTTCATACTCCTGGGGCCAGATATGTAAATGAGACATACACACTAAAACTATCCATATGTTTTCCTCACACATAAACTGGTATTTATATAAGAAGAATGTGTGGTAAGAATGTGAGAAGCTCACGCACACATCAGACCAGGGGTACACACACTGTAAGTGATATGAGAAGGGGAAAATTAAATGTCAGGTTAGAAATTGAACCTAACATCCAGACATCTATTTATGCTGAACTGTGGAAGGCTCGGCATGTGCGCCCAGTTCCACAATGATTTAAATTTATAAAACATACCAAGAGTATATGAGGCAGATGGCAGTTTTAAAATGCAGTGGCTGATTTCTGGGTTTTGTTTGAATACAGCAACAACATTCAGGAGTGTCTAAAGTTACGCCATATGACGTGTAATGATCATGCAATTGTTTTTGCAAAGATGACCTCTTCCCTGTTTTTTCAAAGTAATTGAGAGAGCTACAAGGAAAGGACACTTAGAAGTGAAACCCTGCACATTCTTTGAAGGGACCAATGGTTAGCTGAAAGGGCCTCAGCAGTATGCATCCAGGTCCCACAGCTTTTGGGGCTCATTTTAAAAAAGTGTGAAAGTTTTAAAATGAGGAGATTTTTTTACAATCTTTTACAATCAATATGAATGTAAAAATAGGATTTATAGCCTATGGATGAATTTCAGTTACTTAAGTCCTCATTTCAAAATGACTTATTTGTCAGTGCATATCT